AGCATTGGAAAGAGTGTAGAAGGTGTTCCACTGGTACTGCTTTTCTCCTTGTTGGTTACTCAATTTTACCTCAGTAACAGTTCATTAATCCTATATTCTAATGAGGCCAAATGGGTATCATCTTATTTATATATGCCAGTGGGTGATGGAAATTTCAGACAAACCAGGGAAGCAAGAGGCTGAACCTGCTTTCAAGGTATTTATCTTATCCAGGAACATGCTTACTAGTAACTTTAGTTACCATCATGCCTGAGAGGTCTGTATTATCCTCTGTATGAGTTATTAATCAAATCCTTGTAGGCTTGTATGCTAGATGTGTGCTTTGGTGATTAATTTTCTCAATAGCCCTGATATTGTAGTTTATTGGAAATGTGCACGGGGATGAACCTGTAGGGCGTGAGCTTCTGATGCTTCTAGCTAATTGGATTTGTGATAATTACATGAAGGATCCCTTGGTAACTTCCTGTCTTTTAAATACTGTTGTTGTTGTTGTTGTTGTTGTTATTATTATTATTATTATTATTTTGGTTCATGCTTTTCAGTCTTAATTCTCCAGATTTTTGTCACTTCCTATTTGTCTGCTGAAGTCTGTTTGATAACTCAAGCAATTGTGATTCCCTGGAAAGCCATTTCTCTATTATAGTTTACATTTTGTAGATGACTTTGGAAACATGTTACAAGTTGCAAAACTTTTGTATGCAATTCTGATCCATGAATTATAAACTCGCTTGCTCAAGCCAGTCATGATTGTACCTTCTTATTCTTTTTTCTACATACCAACACTATACTTTTATTTGTTGTTTTATTTTGCAAACTGGAGCATTTTCTCTCAAGCTCTCAAATATCAATTTGAACATCTCAAGAGTCTGCTTAGGATCGCTTTGTTCTCTTTGACTTTTCATATCATTTTAATTTAGCTGCCTTAATATATAAACTGATTTTCTAATTTTCATACACACACGCATGCACTTATTTTCCTTTCTTCTTGTGCTATGATGCTTGCAGGCTACCTTGATTGTAGACAATGTTCACCTTCATATTCTACCATCTATGAATCCTGATGGGTTTCAGAAGAGGAGACGCGTAAATGCAAATAACATTGATTTAAACCGTGATTTCCCTGATCAGGTATCTTCTGATATTATTTACTTTTTCTAATATTGGACTTTAGCTTATTCGGTCAGAAGTTCAGAACCATGTGATTTCATGAAAGGAGGTTTGCTGGGAAGAGGACTCTATTTCTTCACATCATTTTCTCTAAAACCTGCATTCAGACATCAATTATATAGGATTTTAAAGTAATACTATTATAAATTTTCTGTTTTATGATTTCTTTACATGTGATTTTTTTTTTTCTTTTTGGTTTTATGGTGGGAGGTTGTCAGAGAATTGGAGGAACCACCATTTTTTATGGATCAGAGCTTTGAAATGATATGATAATTATGCATTCATGTTATTTACAATTTCCGTAGTGCATGCTTCCATATTTTGTTATTTTTGTTTAGTTCAATATTCCATTACTAGATCTTGATGGTTTTATGGGTGATTCTGACATTTATTTGAGATAATCTTCTGTATAATAAACTTGTTTGTTTTTAAAACTTCTTTAATTTTTCTTTTACTATCATAGAAAGCATTAACTAACATTAAATGACATAGTTCTTTCCCATGAATGATGATCATGGCTTACGTCAACCCGAAACAAAAGCAATTATGAGTTGGATGGAAGGAATACATTTCACAGCATCTGCTAGCCTGCACGGGGTAATTTTTTACACTCTTTCTTTAATGCCCTATTATACTGTATGCATTCCATTTATAATGCAAATGTTACATGTAATTCCTTTTTATTTGGCTACAATCTTTCTGATATTAAAAGTGAGTACTCTAATCTTGAAGGGAAACTATGAAAATCAAAGTTATGGCAAAGAGGATCCTCTTTAATAATTTGTTATGGTGGGCAATAATTTCTTATTTGTTTACAGTTCTCTTTCTAATTTATAATGAGGTTTCCATGGTTGCAGGGTGCACTTGTTGCAAATTATCCATGGGATGGAACTGAAGATAAAAAGTAAGTTTTTCTAGCAGCTTTGTGATGACCTTGACTTGGCATCTCCCAAACACATACATTTTTTGTGTGTGTGAAAGATAGAATCCCTGGGCTTCAATTTACTTTCAACCTTAGAGACAATGTTCATTGATATTTGACTTTTCTTTCCCTCCCCCCATGATGATTATATGATGCATAATGTAATAAAACCAGATAGAGCTTCTTGACATTATGTTGTGTGTGTGTGTGTGTGTGTGTGTATATATATATATAAAATATTTTGTACTTGCTAATTCTTGGATTTAACTGTAATGTTGTCAATTGGGACCTTTTGCAGGAAATATTACTTTGCTTGCCCTGATGATGAAACTTTCAGATATATGGGAAGTTTATATAGTCATCATCACCGTAACATGTCTCTAAGCACGGAATTTGCAGAAGGAATTACAAATGGTGCACATTGGTAAGGAACTATGGAAATAATTCTGTGAAGTTCATCCATTTAGATTTGCAAATTATTCAAATTTTGATGATTAATTCTTTGGCCCATTCCCTTTGTATTCATCAATTTGATTTTTTTTCTGCAGGTACCCTATTTATGGCGGCATGCAAGATTGGAATTACATAAATGCCGGCTGTTTTGAGTTAACATTAGAGATTAGTGATGATAAATGGCCTAATGCAACTGAAGTAAGATTCCAGTTTAAGTTTTCTTGAATTTGGGTTGCTATGTATGGGTGCATACATGAGCATGCATAATCTAGTAATCATGATAACCTTCTTGCACTGCATATACATCCAGAGACTTCAAATTCTTTTGTAAAGCTGGGGGAACATTTCCAGCTTTCGAGAGGATATGAATAACCAAAATGTTGATTCTTTTTCTGGGCTATCATTCTCTCTTAACCTGGCTTGTTATTTGCAGCTTCCCACTCTTTGGGAATACAACAAAATGAGTATGCTACATCTTGTTGCAAGTGTTGTAAAGGTATGTTCAAGATATCATGCAAATTTTATTTGTTTAGGCTCATTAACTGGCATGTGTTGGGAGATGCGGGAAAGGACTAATTGTAATCTTAGATCTCTAGACTGCTCTTAAAGATATCATGCAAATTTTATTTATAAATGAATGAATCAAATGCATGCAGTCCTCTGCTTTGCTAAGTATTATTTCCTGTCAGATACTCCAGAATCTGCTTCAAGAGAAGTAATATCATTTGGTGACTTCCTAATCATGCAGGCCGGAATTCATGGAAAGATCTTTTCTTCTGATCATGGAAAGCCTTTACCCGCTTCAATAGACATAAAGGGAATAAATTACACGGTATGTTCACCAGTTACAACTTCTTGTGTTATAAGGCTTCTAACTTCATGAAAGTTAAAGTGGACTATTACAGCCTTCATTTCTCAGTAATGCCCTTGTTCAATTGTCCTTCTACCTCTCTGTGGTTTGATTTTGTAAAATTAGTCTGGATGCTGTTGAATCCTATATTCCTTTGATGCAAAGCTATTATTTCAAGAATTGCTCTCATCTTCTTGTCTGAAGTAAAATCATCAAACTAGACTAATCCACATCTATTATGCCCATTGCACACTTAGGCATATATATATTTTATAGAAGATGGTTATATCAACCCAGGTCTAGTACATCAGCTGTTTAATTATTCAACTACTTCTGAACAGATAAAAGCTGGCGAAACATTTGCAGACTACCACCGCCTATTAGCTCCTGGCAACAATTATGAAGGTAATCTATATCTAACTTCCATCTCTGTTGATTTCAATTTTTTTAAAACAATATACTTTCAAAAATTAACCTTTAGTGTATTAAAAATATACCTTTAGTAAATTAAAAATGTACCTTGCCTGTTAGTAGTTGTCCTCCTTACAAGGTAGATCATGGATCGTCATACCGTGGACCAGGGTCCTCAGTGCACTATGGACCCTAGTCCTATCTGACGTCGTTTTTGATTTCCTTTTGATATTGACCGTTCGGTTATGAGTGTTTTTTTTTCACTATAAAGCAAGTGTATGTGTCTTGTGTTGTGAGTTTTTGTGTCTTGTATTATAAAATTATGTACCTTAAGAGCATCAATTTTGTACTTGAAACAAATTAGTAGGTGGGTAACACAACGTATTGTGTCTTATGTTATTAATTTATATCTTGTGTGGTGAAAATTCTGAGCCTATAAAACATAATTTTTCAACCTAAATCAGATTTAAAATAAGTAAATATATAACATGTGTATGTGTCTTGTGTTATGAAATTCTTATCGAGTATGAAATATGCACTTGGAATAAATTATTAGCTGTGTAAAAACATGAGAAACGGGAAAACTGAGAATCTTTTAAAATTTGAAGATCAAAACGTCGTTTTGATCTAGGGTCCACAATGCTATAGTCCCATTTTGATGGCTCTATTTGTTTTTCACTTTCTCGTGTGTAATTTAAATATGAACTGATATTGTAACTTGTGCCTGAAAAAATGTAGTTGTGGCAACGATGCCGGGATACAAGTCAAAGAGCACTCACATCATTTTGGGGGAAGAAGCCATGACAGTGGACTTTATTCTTGATCCGGTAATCGCTAATGCAGATGATGGCTCCTTGCAGAAGAGCTGGGATAACAACTTCTTGCCATGGTGGCAGTCGAAACTTTTTATTATTTTGATTCTAATATTGACTTTCCTTTGCATCTTATTGAGGAGTAGATTATTAAACCGGTCCAAACATAGACAGAATGCAGGGTTAAAAAGGCCTCAATTATAAGGTTTTTGAGTTTGCCTTCCTCAAGAGAATCTGTACCTTATAATGTAAAATTTTTATATTACAATATTTTGATTTATGATTCAATGAAAGGATTTTTTTGGGGGTGTCAATGCGTCTCTATTTATTGAATGATTAAATATTATTTAGGGTTGCCTATTAAAACCGTTTTCCTATTCATCCATACCCAAAATGATTTTATTAGTACAGATTTCAAGAATATGCAGTGTTAAAAATGAGCACTGCTAGCCGTGAACAAAGTCAATGCATTATTTCTTGCTAAACATTACCTAGTGTTTGAATCAGAAGGATTGCCCATATGAAGATAGCATCGCAGCTAAATATCCTATCCATCTTCCAGGCAAGAATACGATTGTGCAATTTGTGCATCAATTGGAGTTCTGGTCAACTGGTCTTTTCTGGGCAAGCAGTTGTTTGGTCTTCTCAAGCACTCCAAAAAATATTGAACCTCCAATACCTATCCAAAGCACTCTTGGTCCCATCCCCTGCAATACATAAGTGAATAATGGATCTCTGTAAATTTATTATTCATTGCTAGTAAAACAATACATATTTTTAGGTGAAACTGTGAAATAATGCCTTCATTGATAGACATGGCTATAATGGCTTATGGAAGAAAAATTCAAGCTTTTTTACTGTTTTCATTTTTGGTACATACGAGGACATGGAGGAGATGAGATTTGAACCCAAGCCAAATGTTTGGAAAATAGCTTAGCTGACCATTAGGCAAAATCTTAAACCCCACAAGAGTTCAAGTATTATATTATTAATACATAGCAATGTAGTCCTAGCCACATAGAGACTTCATTCTAAATTTAATCATACATAGGGGCTAGGGCACTGATACCTTAAAAAGAGCAGACGTTCCTTCTTCTCTTGCAATAGTTCCAACACAATGGAGAACACCCTGGTACTGCTTTGCTGATCCCTGTCAAGTGTCAAGGCAAAAAAATAATAATAAAAAGGAAGATTGTGAAAGTAAGAAATGGAAATTAGTGGTCAGCATGAAAACTTTAGAAACTCTACCTGAACCATCAGTCTAGTTTTTATCACGTCAAGAGGAGTTGTTACGGCTCCAGTAACAGCACCTATGAATAACAGTTTCTATGATATGTCATTCTCAGAAAAATTCTTACTTCAATATCTGATGTGCACAAGGTTAGCATATGAAAGGTAGGACCAGGCTATTTTTTGTAGTGGGAGATGAAGATCCTGGGACATCATAACTCGATCACTAATGGGCTGGACCTACCTTAGGGGGCGTTTGGTTCACGGAATCTTGGGTTACCCCAAGTAATAGGATTATCTCCAGGAAGGTAATGTGAGATTTTGAGAATGTAAGATTACCTTATGTGTTCGGTTTGGATTGTGTAATATAATATTACCTTGTTTGGTTAAGGGTTATATGGATCAATTTACTATAATGTCCTCAATAATATAATATATATGTGTGTGTGTTTACTTATTTATATATATGAATGTATATCAATGCTTAAATATTAAAAAAAAAAAAAAACTAAATATATAAATATATATACATGTATATTTGATTATATAAACATATATTATTATTATTATTATTATTATTATCATCATCATTATTATTATTATATAAGGATTAGTTAACAAGGGCAAAGTTGGAATAATTCAAGGTAATCTAAAATTACCTAAGAAAACGGGGGTAAGCACATTACCTTGAAACATTACCGCGACATCAGCTTTCAGGTAATATAACATTACCAGGTAATCTCATAACTTGAACCAAACAATGTAATATAACATTACTAGATTCAAATTACCTAGATAATCTAAGATGACCTAAACCAAACGCCCCCTAATAGTTGAAACATTGATACTCAATATCAACCAAATAGAAATAGTTCCAAATTTACGGCTGGATTCCTAGCTAGGCCATGGCATGTCACTGACGGACGATGCAATGGCCAAAAAGAGAGAGCCAGGGGAAATGAAGGTGTCAACTTAAGGCAACTTGTTGGAGAACCATTATATCTATCACCCAGAACTTTAGAGTGAGACAAAGATTAAATACCTAATGGAACATCTCATGACTCATCTAGCTATCATTAACAGACAATTTCGGAAATTCAAATACCTGCAAAAGCACCAATCATTGCATTCTCAGAATCATTCAGATCCCTTTTTGCCTGCAAGAAGAAAAGCTGACTTTATACAATTTCATAGATTGGGCTATTATACAAAAGTAGCTTGAGTAGCCCCACTACCAACTCATTCATATGGGGCTCATTTTATTTCTGAAGGAGAGCATTTCTTTTGTTAAGAAACTGGTTAAAAATAATTCAATTACTCAATGCTTAAGAATGCAAGACTGCTGATGCTTTTCATGTAAAGATATTGGATTTGAAACCAAGTACTCAACTGAATAATAAAACCAGAAAAAAAAAATGTTGAAATGATCAATTCACCCCTTTCCTGTTCTAATGTTCCATGGATCACATACTTCACCATGCAGTTATTAATCTCCTAGAAAACCAAGACCTCAGTCTCCGAAGAGAGGAAAATAGATCAAGCACGAAGTGAAGGTGAAAGCTTACAGCTAACTTATATCCCAACCGGAGCTGCTCATATATGCAGAACTGCATAGCATCAAAAGGTAGGTCTCGCAGTAGAAAAGAGCCATATCCCTGCCATAGAAAATGGGGGGAAAGCATAAAGAAAAAGAAAAAACAGGAAAGGAAGAAAAGAAAACATACATACACTAACTCATACAAAAAGTTGAGAATGAACTTGAAGATACATAATAGAGCTGCTTAAGTTTTTGGTTAGTTTACTGAGTAAAGCATAACGCTAAATAATGATTATAAAAAGAATTAGGACACATCACTTACTGCAAAAAGGCCTCTAAAACCTTCCTTAGAAATGATAAGGCGTACTGCATCAGGGGCTGAAGCAAATTGCCCAGTCTGCATCCTTTGCTTGACTACCTGTTAGTTATTTGTAGCATAAGCTAGAGAAGCAATGCAAGAAGATAGGATTGAAGTTGTGAATTCTCAACCACCTCTGTTGGTACACGAATAATTGAAGAAGCAGCACCTCCAACAGCACCTGCAGTCTAAATGAAGCTTGAAATATTTATCCTTTTTTAAAACTCCTTCTCTTTTGTTTTGATTAAAAAAAAAATTGAGGGAGGGGTGCCAGACACAAGAAGAAAGATGGACATTTCAGAATCCAAAAGATCAACTACGAAATTTATAGAAACTCAAATTCATTGTCGAAAATAATCACACACACACACACAAAATCGTATAGAAATCATGAAAGTGATTCTGCGATACTAGTATGAATTGAAACATGTGCTCCATCTCAACTAAAATAGTTGGATACACATTAATGGATATATGCTCACACGCCTGTACGGTGGATTCCAACCAACACGTGGACCGGTAAACCGTTGTCGTTTATGAGTGGCGTTGAGATTCGAACCCATGACCTTTGGTCTGGCTTTGATACCAAATTGAAGCATGTGCTCCATCTCAACTAAAAGCCTAAGCTGATAGTTGGATACACATTAATGGATATATGCTCACAGTATGAGACCAGATACTGTTAACTTCTATATAATCCAAAGCAACTCTAACTGTTCAACTAGGAATGAAATTTAGAACAGCAAGCTAGTAGGCTAGTAGCACATGCACATCTTACCAAGTGAGCCAAGGCACTAAAGTTTTCAGGCAAGCTCTTCAGCAATTTCTGCTTTGTAGGTTCATACACTCCGACAAATATTGCCGAAGCTCTGCAAGAAATGAGAGTTAATTAGTTAGTCTTTGAATAACTAATGGAGAATGTCCAGCCAGCCGTCCAGGTATACCCAGAAAGGCAACTGTAGGGTTCCATTGAATCTTTGGCATTCCAATTTTTAAAAGTAATGATATGTATGTTCATAGACAACAAAGATTTGGTGACACTTGCATGCCATTTTCTTCACCATGCAAATCCAACATAAGAATGGAACTTGAGGTTTTCTGTTTATCATAGAAATAGTGTAGTAGTAGCAAATTGATTTGAAGTAACAAAAATTACGGTAAGACTCCTGCGAGATTTCCAGCCAAGCCTGAATAGAGACCCTTCAGAATTATTTCTCCACCACCACGAACTGCCTAACACAGAATATGGGACTGCTAGTCAGATATTCCATTATTAAGTACTCTGTACTTTGTAATCTATGAGCAATGGAAATGTGAACAGCAGGCCATTAATCCAATTGTTAAAAAAAAAAAATAGTAGTTAGGCTAGACTTGGAAAGACGAAAAACATGAATTCAATATCTTAGCTCCCCATTACTTAGCAAAAAGCCAAAAAGCATCAGAGAAATGTGCAACTCTTCAGCATAGCAAAGTAGATTTTTACTTTCCTACCTTAAACTACTGCAATCTAGTGATGAAAATTAAAGAGAATAACCTATATTTGAGAAAGACATTAGGAATGAATTGTAATGAAAGAGATGCTTCTACAGAACATTTGACCAACTAGAAACAAAATATCTTTAACATTCATAAAGAACTTGCTAGATGTGAAAAAAGGCAGTGCCCTCAAGTAGGCTGAACCTGCTTGAAGTCGAGTCTTTATTGTATCAATTGGGTATAATACAGTTTCTACAACAACACCAGCAGCTGCTCCAGCTACTGCACCCTCTGCAACAGAAAATTCATATGGCATCTCAATACACCAAATAGTAAAGATACAACTTGAAATAATGAAATCAGCAGCTAAATAGCTCCAAATAAGCTAGATCTTACATAATAAGACAATTCTAATTGGACCAGGAGCCAACAAAAAGCTTTTGTGTTTGTATCTTAATTCTTCAACTCAAACTATCCTCATGGATGTTGAAGAGAACCGAAATACCTAACACCTCAAGGAATTATAATCCATTGGATGTTGAAGAGAATTAAAATACCTAACTCCGTAAGTAATTTTCAGAAGGAAATTTGAATGTATTCTGTCCTCAACATTTGAAGTAGCACCTTATAGCATTCATATATTAAAATGAGAACATCGAACACAAAAACTTGAGAATCACGGTGAAATAACATATGCCTCGAACATAATCCAACTTTATGAGGAATAATGTACAATTTACCATATAAAATGCGTAAAAAATCAAACGGCGTCTCTTGTTTGTTGACTGATGCAAGGAGCATGTTCTTCTCATCGCGAAAGTTGAATACCTTGAAATTCCGTCCACCTTCTGCAAGAGAAATGTAGATCAAATAAACTAAACAGTTGAAATCATTAAGCATAACATAAATTTATAATGCTACTCGTAGAAGCAATCACCAGATGAATCTGCCTTTAAATCCGTAGACATTTTTGTGAGCAGTTGAGCTTCGAGAAGAGTAGAATACAACAATCCAGCTCGAGCAGCGGGAAGAGTTTTGGAGAATAGAGAAAGAGGGGTTTTAGAGAGGTTGAAGCAATTGAAAGGACGAAATCACCCTCGTAATATTAACTTAAATTATTATATTTAGAACGGCCCGGCCCATCAAGAAATTGTTGGGCCTTCAAACTTCGCCTTGGCATTGATACATACATATATTATTCCAAAAGGCTGAACCCCAACCCTATTGATAAATACATACATACATCCACTGATAGCAAAACTGTTTAGTGTCTCCTCCTAAAATGAAAGAAAAATACTTTTTGGATCACTAAATCCACTATGCTTGGCCTACAAGTTTATGAATACCCTTCAGACGGTTTGAACCCGATGAATTTTGTTCATATTGTCGGTGTCATTTGACCAAAATTTATGTAAATCTTGTTTAGTAATTTTTTTTTTTTTTGGGTGACGAGTGAAACTTGCGGTTATTATCAAATGGTGTGCTGATACGATCCCATGTCGATTCCACAAAAAATTAGGGAGTGGTACTTAAGTTGGGACCAAACCTCTACTCATGAGTTAGCTTTTGTGATGGAGTTAGGGTTTTGGCTTAAGTACCGTATCAATTGGTACTCTCATTGATACAACTCCCCACGGAGGTATCAAGTTGTCATTTTGCGGCCTTCTATTAATATATACCTGGTGCAGAGAAGAGTCTGGAGTGTGAGCCGTCTATTAACATATATCTGGTGCCGAGAAGAGCCCGGAATGTGAGCCGTCTAGAGTAAGCCGTCGCGGCTTCTCAAGGCCATGGGGTGGGCACGGACGTCGGCTTCTCAAGGGGTGGGCAATGATACGATCCCACATTGGCTCAACAAGAGATTGTGGAGTGGTACTTAAGTTGGGGCCAAACCTCCACTAATGAGCTAACTTTTGTGGTGGAGTTAGGGTCTTGGCTTGAGTACCGTATCATGTGCATTAGATACATCTCACTCTAGTGCAATAGTCCGTAAACCACGCTAGGAAGCTATGTTGGAGATATTTTTATAAGGTAATATATGTTCTATACTTTTTTTAAGTATTGCAGTTCAAAGAGTCAATACTCCACCATCGAGATTCGATCATGTGACATTCCCTCAAAGGGAGCTACAGATGTGCCATTTCAGCATAAGGTGCTTGGCATGTGCGAAGATATTTAATTAAATCGTTATTTAATTTTCTATTTTGTATTCATGAAAATATGTAGAGATATTTAGGTCATAATAAGTCATATCATGTAGTTGAAAAAAATACCGAAAAGAAATGATATGTTCCAAAATTGTCACATATTTCATTTTTAGGTATAGTAACACCAAAATAGAAAATTTTGAAGTATTTTTCAAAACACACAAAAATATATATTCTTGTATGTAATGGGAATTAATTTACTTTAATTTATATGTTCTTCCTTATCAAGTAATGCATACCTCACACTGTCACACACATATATTGATATATATACATCTAATTAATATGTAGGAAAAGTGGTTTGTCTTTTAGGTTTCTGATTCTCTTTGAATTATATCCCTTACTAGTGCTCTCTCTTTCCCTCTCCCCCCTTCATTCATTGTTTGATGTTCATTAGAGATTTAGAGCACAACCAGAGTTGCTGGATTGTGAAAAATAAAAATAAAAATAAGAATTAAAAAAAAAAAAAAAAGGCATCTCGAAGATGTCTGTTTGATGGTGTATATTGAAAGAGCAAACGGTTATATTGGGCATTATTTGCCCTATTGAAAAAAAAAAAAAAAAAAAAAAAAAAGAAACATAGATTTTTTGTTTGAGAATAAAGAAATATAGATTTAAATATCAATAATATGATTCATAAAAGTAATACATATGTGTGTTGAGGTATAAACAATCGTTATACCACGGACCAGGGTTCACACTATACTATGGACCTTGATTCATGTGTTCATGTTTTGTGTTATGACTTTTTGTGTCTTATGTTATGAGAGTTTGTACCTTTATAAGTATGAATTCTGTACCTAGAACAAATTAGTAATTATGTCTTATATTATGAATTTCCGTGTATTGTGTTTTGTAATTTTGTGCCTATGAACACAAATTATGTATCTAAATTAAATTTTATTTTGTGTTATGAAATTCTATACTTTACGGTATGGGTTATGTACCTTGTTGTTTCAATATATAATCTATAATACTATGTGAACCCTGGTCCATGATATAAATTGCCAAGTATAAAATCATCTTCATAGAATGGTGCTTCATTTAAAAAAAAAATGAAAGATAGTGTATTAATCATTAAGACTAGGAAGAGATAACATCAACCAGGAAATTGAGCAACTAAAGTGATGAATAGTAAAATATGTACAATTTTATCTTATTAACATATTATCGATGTAAAGCAAATATGTATGATGAATGTAACACTTGAGTTATTGTCATTTGTAATCCTATAATCATTAAGACTAGAAGAGATAACATCAACCAGAAAATTGAGCAACTAAAGTGATGAATAGTAAAATATGTACAATTTTATCTTATTAACATATTATCGATGTAAAGCAAATATGTATGATGAATGTAACACTTGAGTTATTGTCATTTGTAATCCTATAAGTTTGGCGTCATTCTCACTATCAATGTATAACTATGAAAATTTTCAAGTGCACGACTTTTACTTTAAACATAATTATCAAATATAAAAATAAATAATTATATTTAAAAATACTATTTAAAAAAAAAAAAAAACTATTCTCCAAATATTAGAGTCCTGGCTGCTCTTGGCGAGTGCCGACTCTGATTTCATAGCATTTGCTAGTGCCGTGTAGGCGGTGTAGCTAGTGACTGATGTTTTAAATGTCATTTATTGGAGGATGCATGGATGACTAATCAGTTTGAACTTTGGTAGAAGATGAAAAAGAACAGAAGTACAACATGCATGGTGGAAGATAAGAGTGCCACTAATGACACTATTACCTGTCTCCAACATGCATGTTGGACACGGGTCCATATCATAACGATTGTTAATTTGCTATACAGGTTGATTTGAACTTAATTAATTAAACTATTTTACATTTTAAGGGATCTGAATGAATCTTTATTTACTTATGGGACTTAATTGTACTATTTGAATGACTTAAGTGGCCAATTTAAGACTTTTTCCATTTTTAAATGCAGTGAAACTGAGTTATCCTTAAATTTATGGTTAAACTTAGAAAATAAGACGGAATCTAAGAGATACCCAACTCAAATCTTGTATTGTTGGTTTCCAAATTATTTGGTGGAATATGTTCCTTAAAGCTGGACCGTCCATTTAAATATGAATTATATTATGGAATCTGATCTCTTTTTTAAGTCATCATGAAGTGAATGTCTAATGTCTACCAAACGATCACAAATAGCATATTCACAACTTAACAAGTTGGCTGAGGGAGTTTTTGTAGTGTTTGTAATGTTGAGGTTTTCTTGACGTAAATTCTATATCGATGTTTATCATAAATAATTTTTAATACCATATTTTAGTGCTTATGAGTAAAAGTATTTAGTATGTTGAAATTTTAATAACTATTAATTTATACATTTGAATTTTTACTACTGAATCGAGTGATTTATATTAGAGTTAATTTTAATTTTTGTTCTAGATTTATAGGTGACATTTCACTTTTAATGCACTTTTTTTCTAACAAGATCTATGGTCACAAATAGTCCACACGTTCACACCTAAAACTTTGTTCTCATATATATATATATATATATATATATATATATATATATATATATATATGTGTGTGTGTGTGTGTGTGTGTGTGTGTGTGTGTGTGTGTGTGTGTGTGTGTGTGTGTGTGTGTGTGTGTGTGTGTGTGTGTGTGTGTGTGTAGGGTCATGTTCCCATCTAGATAGTGTTTTCCGTGCGGTCACTCACCACTAGGTACGCATAAATGCACCACAAAGTGTTTAGAATTGCATCATTAGGTGTTGACCGGTGTGGTGCATTTGTTTGGTGTGTTGTGCATTTTGTGGTACATTAATGCATTTCATTGTTGTGCATTTTCAAACACTGTGTGATGCATTTTTACATACATAATGGTAAATCGACACCAGTCACACGAGAAGCACTGTCTGTATTTGAACCAGTATCGTGCACAATATATGCATTCATTCAATATTTTTCGAAGAGAGTTCTCTCCAGAGAAACTATTTTTTCTCCCCTCCAACTATTATCTCTCATTTTCTCTCCCTTTCCCCCTTCTTTCTCTTTGGATGGGAGATGCCCTAATGAACGTCCCCACTCCCCACAATACCAATACAAACTTTAAATCTTTCCAACAATTTTTAATCTATACCCAATACAAAAAATACTAGTACTAATTGACATTCTAAACTTTGTCATAATTATATATATAATCCATATTTCATAAGCATATATATGCATATGAATTATGATGTTGAATTGACTCTACTTGAAGCCTTGAACATAGAATATTAAATAATATCTTATATTATTTATTTATTTATTTTAGTTTATCATTTGTTTTTATTTTTCTTTTAATAAATATCATTCGTTTAGAGTTGACCTTTATTATTTAAATAATTGAATGAATTGTGACTTAATGCTTTTTTTTTTTTTTTTTGTATTTCTATAAAGATAAGGCTCCATGCATGAAGATATTGTTCAATTAAAAAATACAGAATATTTATAAAAGTGTAAATATATTAAAGTCCGTATATATATAATCTTTTTAAAACTTAGTTAAAAATTGGAAAGAATTATATAAGTATTATATGTATTTGTTTGGATGACGAGGCCGGAAATCTACGAGTATTACTCGATGGTGTATTTTGAGTATTTTTTATAGGGTGTTGACAATAATCAAACTTATAGACTTTTAATGAGATAATTATGTTCCACCCACTCAATCATCAGTTTTGAGACAATTATTATGATGTGTTTTATGATACATCTAGGATATCCATGCATGATTGAACTTAAAAGACTTTATACTTAAAATTATGAATGATTATTGTTAAATTATAAATAACCGCTCATAACATAAAATCTTTATATGTATGCATAACATCGTGTTTGATTAAAAAAAAAATTAAGAAGGGATTATCATTTTAGCACAATATAACTTTGTTCAAACACACAATCAGATCAATAGGTAGACAAAGTAGTAGGTAGATGTCACTATTACAAATAAATAATTAATAAATCGGTGCATTTTGTCAATTAAGATCAGCTAAGCTAAAAGTAATAAATATTGACTTTGACAACTATTAGATGTTGATGGTTTTGTTGGAATCGGGTCCGCGATAAATTAAGTATAGATGTATAGAATGGAGGATATGAAAATAGTAGTATTATTACTCAAAATTAAAATGGCGGTTCAAAAGATAAATATTAAATAATACAAGCTATAGCTCAAGGAATGAACTAGAAATAATAATGTTACTGCTAGGAATCAAACCATGCATGGTGTTTGGATTAGAGGTTAGGACCACAAATCACTTGACTATGAGGGAGGTTGTGAACCAATGGATGATCTTTGATTCCAGCGCACTTTCCAAGTTTCCATGCATAAGTGAAACTTCATGCTCTTTAATATATAAGATCTTAAGTGACTTGGGTAGTTAATGTCTGGGTTGTTAACCCCTAGGTTACAGGTTTGAATCTTGCTAGTTGCACTTTTTTTAATATTTTGCTCAATGCTTCATTTTTTCCTTGGCAATAAAAATGAACTCCTAGATCAATATCTATCCAGTATAATGAGGCAGATGTTATGAAAAGACTAAAAGTAATACTTATTTATATTTTGTGCAACTATTATTAAAATATATATATATATATATATATATATATATATATATATATATAATAGATTGCACTTATTTATGATGGGATAACTTGGTAATTGGCCTAAAGCTGAGCAGGGCTCATTATGGAGCACCCAATATAATTAAGTTGAGAATGACAACTGACCGTGCTGGAATTTCGGCCATATATACCCACCCTTTCATCTATAATGGTCATGCTAAACGTTATAGACGGTTATATACTCAACAAATTTCATGTGTTATCATCAAGGTATAGTAGATCGTGGATGCATATGACACGTGATCTTTTTTACTGGTAACTATTTTAATATTTTGGACGTAAAATATATAGTAACTATGTATTCTATCCTCTTCATTGTTCTACTGCATTATTTAAACGAGTTTTTTGCACTTTTAGTCCCACGACTATAGTGGCACTGGCAGAATTGGTCCACGACTTTTTAACCTTGTAATTTTAGTCCACGACTATTGATTTTTTTGCAAAAATGGTCCTTCCGGTCACTTTTCCGTCAAAATTTCACCGGAAAAAAAAAAAATTCTCTATATTTAGCCGGGTTAAAATTGACATTTTATTTATCTCAAAAAATTAAAAGAAAAAAATTGATATTTGACTACATACAATATTACTGAGCTACATACTACTGCCCAGGCGACGGAGTTCCTGGAGCATGCAGGGCTGTCAGTAAGCGGCGGAGTGGTCGTGGCGTTCCCCAGGCTAGTTGGGTTATCCGGCAGCAGCATTAGAGTGGTACATATACTCCGCCGCCTGGGGCAGTAGTATGTAGCCCAGTAATATTGTATGTAGTCAAATATCAATTTTTTTCTTTTAATTTTTGAGATAAGTAAAATGTCAATTTTAACCCGGCTAAAATGGAGAATTTTTTTTTCCGGTGAAATTTTGACGGAAAAGTGGCCGGAAGGACCATTTTTGCAAAAAAATCAATAGTCGTGGACTAAAATTGCAAGGTTCAAAAGTCGTGGATCAATTCTGCCATTGCCACTATAGTCGTGGGACTAAAAGTGCAAAAAACTCTTATTTAAACACAAATCAACTCAAATACGACATATAGTTGCTTGTTAGGGCCATAGTTTCATAATATGCTAATAAAAAAATTGGTACCACCAAAAGAAAATTAGGTAAATTATACTGTGGACCACTAATACATGTTGATTTTAATATATTGAATATTTATTAGAGAGTATTTAGTAGTATATCAAATACCAAATAATAAAAATTCAATACACAAATAAAAAAAATTAAAAAAATAAACATTCAATGTATTAAAAATAAATTTTTAATATATATTAAAACTATATTTTATGTCAGTGATGCACCTTACATGATGAATCATAGTCCATAGTACAATCATGAAAGAAAATGAGAGGCCCACATGGACAGTTCAATTGGTCACAGTGATGAAGTTTGAGAACAATATAAGAAAATGAGAGCGCGTAAAAAATAAAAGAAAAAAATGGAGAAAATGCAATAATTAATGTCGTAATGTGGTAGTTTTGGTGGTTTGCTTTCTAGGGCCCACGTTAGTGTTGAAAATTTGGTGACTTTTATTGATTTGCGTGTCTTCACACGCGCAGAAACAGTATTTACGCAATTACGCCTCACAACATCACATGTTTTTTAAATCACGTGTTTAGCTAAATTTAAAATACACATTTTTAATGGCGAGCACTAATAAGCTTGTTTTTTATATGAGTTATGTATGGAAGTAATAATTGGGAGAAAATTTAGAATAAATCAAATTTTGTATCTTTAAATAGGGACTATGAGTTTTGTAGATAACTTAAAATGTTATACCCTATGCAAATTGTTTTGGTGTTGATCCTATAAAGTGGAATTTTTTAAACTTTAGTCTATTAGTCAATTTTAACTTAGCATAATAGTGTTTGATTAATTAATTTTTTTTTTATAACAACTCAATACTTCAAAATGCTAAATTTCAAATTCGATCAATTTTTTTAAAAGTCATTTTATATGTAATTAACTGACAGTTAACAACTGATAACTCACTAACTCAATCCGTAACAAGTATCCTTTATTTACTAACTACCATTCACCAAAGATCTTTAACGAGATTCTGTTATCTTTCCTCAAGAAAAAGGAGATTCTCATTTCTCAGGGTCAGCGGTCTGCAAAGCTGTCGTTTTCTTCTAAGTCCACAAAAGTAAATGAAGAATTGCGTACACATGCAATCGTCTATATATATCCTCATTACATTTCTGGGTGTGAATCTGTCTTAAGCTCTTTTTTTTTTAATCATTCCTCGTTTCTTCTCAACTTTGAAGCTTTCTGCTGAAGTTCTCCCCTCTCTTCTGTAAGTTCTTCAATTTTCTAGCCCTGATCATTCTTTGGAAATGGGTTCTGGATCTCTCTTGCTTTACCGAACATTGTCGTGCAGTTATAACGTGTTCTCTTGAATTTCATACGGGATTTTCTGAGATTTTTTATTGTATTTTCAGTGCAGTTCATACGAGCTCTACAATTTACTTTTAGTTAATAGCATCTGAATCGGAATTAGGAATTTGAGAAAATAACTGCCTTCAAATAAATGCATGATGAATTGAATTCATGGTAAATGTTATTAGTTAGTGTATGGAAATCGGAGCAGGGAATTGATATGAGTTTTGTTGATTTTGTTGAAACTAGGTTGAGAAATTGTGTCGGTTTTGATGGCGGTAAAGAAGGACGAATCTGTTGAAGGTAGTCTACCTGGTGAATTGATGCAGTTAGTGTTATCTATAGCTTCAAAATGGGGGGATGATGACACAGATCCAGATACCATAAATGTTGAGCTAATGAGTGGTGCCATGACTAATGCGGTTTTCCAGATTAGTTGGCCAGCAAAGACAGAAAAGGTAACCCGGAGAGTTCTAGGTCGGGTTTATGGTGTAGGAGTTGAACATTTCTTTGACAGGGTTGATGAAATCCGGACCTTTGAGTTTCTGTCAAGTAAAGGCCATGGACCCAAGCTTCTTGGGAAGTCCGCAGAAGGGCGTATTGAACAGTTCATTGAAGCCAGGGTACTAATTTCAAGCTTTGATTTCATTCTTGTTAAGTTTGATGCTTTTATTTGCTTCAAGTTTCATCTTCTTGAAATTGCATCCAAAAGGTCAATGAGTAAAACATCAAGTATTCAAGTCTTGATAGTTCTAGTTTTGTGTTTTCAGACACTATCAGCTGATGATCTACGCGATCCAGAAGTCTCTACTCTAATCGCGGGAAAATTGAGGCAGTTTCATAGCATTGTCATTCCTGGTACTACAAAGGAAGTTGTTCTTTGGAACAGGCTGAGGTATAAATATGCTGGGATATAATTTTTGATAGGTTTTAATTGATGGAATTTTTACTGATTAAGGAGGACTTGTTTACCCCCAGAAAATGGCTAGAGAAGGCGAAGCGTTTGTGCTCCACTGAACAGACAACGGAGTTCCGTTTAGGTGATCTTGAAAATGAAATCAGTTTATTAGAAAAGGAGCTGTCGAGGGAGCCACCAGAGATCGGTTTCTGTCACAATGACCTGCAGTATGGGAACATTATGATTGAGAATACGGCTAGATTGATTACTTTTATTGTAAGTGTTCTGTGATCTCAATTAACATTTAACGTTCTGTTCTGCGTTCACTTATATGAATACTTTGAACTAAGACATTTGCTAATTCATTTAACAGGACTATGAGTATGCCACTTACAACCCAATTGCATATGACTTTGCTAATCACTTCTGCGAAATGGCAGCAAATTATCACACCCATACTCCTCATGTCTTGGACTACAGTAGGTACCCTGGTAAGTAACTTCTCTACGGGAGTTTATAACACATTTATTTATTTATTGGGATTTTATATGATTTTACCCTTTTAAGTGTAGCCGGCTAATTTATGAGTTCAAAATTTGCCAACAGGTTCAGAAGAACGCCATAGATTCATAAGTTCCTATCTGAGTTCTTCAGGTCAGTCCTTTTTGTTTTGGAGCACTAGTTTGGAATAATTCAAATTCTATTATGCCCTATATCTGCACAGATGCTTAGACCAATATAACTGATCCATTTTGTGCAAGTTTTGGAAAAGCATACATACTCAGTCATCCAAAAATAAAACCCATTTTGGATGGGACCATTAGAATTTGACAGCTTAAATTTGGCTACGCATCCTTTAGCATACTTTTAGACCCAATATTGTTCTGTCATGGCCACTACCAATGGTAGTGATTTCTGAACATTGAGTGTGGATCTTCAAGATGCCATGTTAGAGAAGGGACATATATGACCTTTACCCGATGGAAATTGTGATTATTGCAAAAAGTGCTTTATACTGGTTATTTATATGTTTGAGTGTATATGTATATGTCAAGACCTTGTCAAGTGATTCACGAGATAATCACTTGGTATTGTAATTATTTGTGCAGGCAACCATCCCAGTGATGAGGAGGTAGAGAAGCTTGCTGTTTACGCAGAAAAGTATACTCTTGCAAACCACTTGTTTTGGGGATTATGGGGAGCCATCTCGGTAAATCATTATTCTTACAAATCTGCTCTTGTTTCCACATTGAATGGCACAAAATTAAGGAAGCCTAATAACCATTTCTTGAATCTCAGGCTAATGTGAACACTATTGACTTCAAGTACCTGGAATATTCAAGGCAAAGGTTTGAACAATACTGGTTGAGAAAGCCCGAGCTCTTGGGAATCTCAGGCGACGACCTTTGAACCAAGTAGTCAGCAAAAGGGATAGCATTACGTTTCATCACACTTTCTTGAGGTCACACTACGAGTTACTAGTAGAGAGATTCTGGCCCTGTTTGGTAAAATGGCTGTTAGCTAATAGCGGTTAGCTGTTAGCTAATTGTGTTGTGTTAATTAAAGGGTATAAATAGTTGATAATTGTAAAAAAGGGTTTGGTAAATTAGCTTTTAGCTGATAGCTGTTTGATATAATTTCTTTTCTAAAAAAGCTAATTGAAAAAGTTGCTTGAAGTAGCTTTTTAAATTTTAGTCATTTGAAGTTGCAAAAAGCTAATTAACCAAACATTTATATTGATATTTTAACTAAATCAAACAATTAATAGTGGTCAAATAAGCCAAAATTGGCCTATAGGCCAATTTTTTACCAAACAGGGCCTCTATAGAGAAGCATAAGTGGTTGTATAAAACAAGCAAATAAACAGTTGAATGAAAATCTTTTATAGTACATGTATCTTTTGGTGTATACTTAGTGAATGCTGAAAATTCATTTGGTTTAATTTGTGTGTGCTCTTGAGGTCACACTACAAGTTACCAGTAGATCAGAGAGAGAAGCATAAGTGGTTGTTCAATTGTAAAATACAAGCAAATAAGAATGAAAATCTATTGTACTTGGTTTAATTTGTGTGTGGTATTGTCTAATCCAGTGTGTTTTTTTATGTAATTAACTAATTAGGCAGTGCTCATCAAAAGTTAGTTGCTTTAAAAGAGTTTACAATGGGTGCCAAAAAATGGCATGTTCTTTAAAAATCTTAGATTGCACCAGCCGGGAATCGAACCCGGGTCTGTACCGTGGTAGGGTACTATTCTATCACTAGACCACTGGTGCTTAATTAGTCATTGTGCTTAAATCTTATCTCAGATTAGCTCACGAAGAACACGTAATATTTTAAATAAAAAATATAATTATTTTCTTTATGCACTCATATAAAAGTATTATTTTTAATTAAAAATCACTACATGTTTCACGTTAAGATAGTTCCATACAAGATTTGTTCATAAAAGTAATGAATATTTTCAAGCGAATAAACTCAAGAAGTGAGGTATATAGAGAATATTTTTTTTTTTGAAAGCTACCGACTCTATTAGATTGTAGTATCTGTTCATATACTTTCTCAACCTATCTCCACTGAGGCTTGAACTCATAATCTTTCAAATGAAAATTTAACCCGGATACCATTAGATCACATAATCCTGGTAGAGAGAGAATATATTTAGTTGTACACATTATCAAAAAATATTTAGTTGTACACTTGTACATTTGAAAACAGAAAATAAAGAAAAAAAAAAAAGAACTGAAAGAAATACAACATAATATTTCACATGGAATAATATAAAGGTTTTGGTTTGAACATAACGATTATGATAAAAACTTGTGTGAGACTGTCTCACAATTTTTTATTTTTTTTTTGGTGAGGCGGGACAACAACTTGGCTAAGTATAAAATTTTTAATTATAAGTATTATACGGAGAAATATTTATCACTAATTACAATCAATTTTATCTTAAATACTATCACAATTTTACATATAAATATTATAATATATATCTTAAGTAACAATTTGTTTTTAATTCAAATTGATATTAAATTTTCTACAATAATTATTACAATTTGTTTCATAAATACCATTTCACATATAAGCATTACAATATTTACATATTAGCTTTTCAAAAAATAAAAATATTTACATTAGAATTACATTTTATAAATATCACAATTTCAATTATAAATATTCGAAGTACAATCATTTTGTCCTACATACAATTTCACATATAAATATTACAATATCTATTATAAGTAACAATTTATTTATTTTAAATTGATATTAAATTTTCTATAATAAGTATTATTATTATTTAAATCATAAATAACAAGCAATTATTCTAGATTCGATCTATTCCACAAATTAGTATTACACAAGTGTGACTCAGTGATTATTATTCATTCAAAAATTCATGCAAAATTACAAGATAAGGAAAAGGAGCTTGAAGTATAACTGCTATTGGGAGACTATAGACCTACTGTATTGAAGAGTATTGAGTTTTGGACTTGTATATATATATATATATATATATACCGACTCAACTCAAGACCAAACTAGGTTGATAGACCTACTGGCTACTGGCTACTGGCTACTGTACTGTTGTGCAAAAACTTTAGTTATTAACTTGGGAAAGAAACTGGCAACTTATACAAGTTACAACAGACACACCAACTTATACAACATACAAACGGGCTTATCGCAATGGGTTCAGTAGACAGTATTTGAAAGAGGAATAAAAGACTTCAAAGAACTGGCTCGGGTCAAATTTGGACTAATTGCGTGGGATGAAAGAGTCACGGGCGTCATAATATGCAGCCTCTCCAGCCCTCCCTTGGGTTACCCTCTCTTAGTGCCGCCATAATGAAGCATTCTACACCACCAAATTAACATTCATTAATAATGCAACAAATTTAATGAGCTATCAGAACAAGAATGCTTAAAATGAGCCAAAGTTGTGTCATTTTGAAGATCAATTGTATGAGAAAGTGTAAAACCATACCTGTTCTATTGTTAATCGGTTAATTCCACTCTCGATTTCTGTATCAGTAACAATTTCCTCTTTGTCGATCTCTGCATCAGTGAATGTGAGGGCGCGCTGCAATTTCTTTGGACAGAATATCTCGACTTCTACCATATAAGAGGCTGTCACGGGCCGATGATCAGAAGTTCTAAGATCAGATCTCCTGTAGTTAAGCAGCCGCATTCCCTTCCCAGACGAAAGAATACGGTCACACCTGAGTAGAAGGAAATGGTTTAAATGCAGAGAATAATAAGTAAATTATCTAAGGGTGATGGATTTTTGTCCTAAACTGAAAAACAAATGGCACATACCATGCTGGAGTACGCCTTCCAGACTTTGGATCCTCTCCATGGTACTTGTCTGAGTTAATCTCGTACTTATAAGTGGGTGGAAAATTTAAAACACCTTCAGTCCATCCATCAAAAGCACGTCCTTTCTTCAGCTCTTTTCTAAGCTGCAAAAACATGAGATTGTATTCATCAGAGCAAGGATCAATAACAATTACTACTATACAATACAAATTCAAGTAGACTGGGTAAGGGGTGATCTTTGTCTAGCAGTTTAATTCAAAAAGATGATCAGATTTACCTGATCACTTTCAGCTAGCTTAGACCAGTCTTTTTTGGATATTAGCTTCATTGTCTTCTCATATGATAAATTCATACGATAATTTAAATCACCCAGCCAGATGATTTTCCTGCCAAAAAAAAAAAAAAAATCGTCAAAATTAGAGGAAAAGAAAAAAATGATGGCAAATCATACACCAAATTTAATACGAATTACTTCAAGTGGACTTAATAGTTAAGACATTGAATAAAACTTTTACAATTTTAAACAGCCGAAAATCCCCATTGGTTTCTCAACTAGTTCCAGTTCCATTAAGGTGGAAGTTTGAAATAGCCCAGCCCTGTTTTTTTTGGAAGGAGAAGGCATAGGACTTAAGGTATTAGAAAGTACAAAACGTATTCATTTCCCATAAAAAACAAGAATATGGCAAAACATTTTCTTAAATGTTACTCCGTATTACTTAAGAATGCAGGCAGGCAGTTTCTTTCATTAGAAATGCATATTTCATGGTGTAGAGAAAAGTATACTTTAGTGAAAATATAAACCTACATGCAGTAACGTTCCCGATAAAAAAATTTAGAATTTTGCAAAATAAGAGAAAAAACAACATCAAATAATCACTGGCAGGGAGAGAGAAGACAGTTACAGAACAGGGAAGATCAGTCATACTTACTTATGGTCACTGATACTTTTAGGAAGTCTAATACTAGAATATGTATTAAAGTGTGTCCTCCGATGAATTTCACGCACATCTGCATTTCTTTTGACCACATCCCCATCTTTCTCACCAGATGTTAAATGAGTGCAAACGAAACAGACAAGGGTCTGGTGTATAGACATGCTAACCGATATTGATCCCTGGAAGAAATAAGTGACACACTTGTGAAACTATCTACCAGATTCCAGAACAGTTTCTAATAGAAAATCAAGTAATCAACCAAAACATTTTTAGTCAAAAAACACTCCAACTCTCGCATAAGTGATAGAATGCAATTATACATAAAATTTCTTGCAAATGTCAATGGTTTTGATAATAGAAAACTTGAAAACACTCCTTAAGTGGTATAAAGTTGAAAGTTAGAACAAACCTTGTTACCTATGTAGCCCATTACACCAACACCAACTGTAGACACATTCAAGTTTTGGATATGTTTTCGCAAGCCTCTGCGGACCCATATAGTCAAGAAAATACCAACCATTTGCTTGCTTATAATCCTCACGTATGGTGATCTTCTTTTCTGTTTTATTAAAGATTCCAGATCGATTTCTGCAAGTATGGCTATGTCAGATTGCATTCTGTTTTGACCATTAGCCGTGGAATTGAAAGAGCTGTATCTTCTGAAAGACTTGGAAGCCTTGAACGATTTCATAGATTTCATGCAATTAGGTCGATCTAAAATATGCTGAGGCAGAATATCTAGTTGTGGCTCAGGCCAACATAGGCCAATCTTCTCTGTCACACTAAGTGTTTTGGTTAATTTCTTTCCATACTGGGTACTCAATTCCTCTGCATTTCCTTCACACTCTTCAGGTATAGAGCAATCTAATTCATTTATCCTATTTGGCAAAGAAAACTGCCTTTTATACCCATCTTCTCTGTTACCGTTGGATGTGGGCACATCAGCATCGACAACCATATCACTACCAGAGACATTTCCATCCTTGACTTCAACAAATTCATTGAACTCTTCATTAATTGGAACAATTTCTTCCTCGCCCTCACTATCAGACTCTAGTACAATTTCCTCTTCAATATCATGCATATCTTCAGATGGCTTAAACCTTGATGGAGAAGGAGGATCACTATAAGATTTGAACTTATTCCCAGAAGGGATTTTATTAAGTGATTCTCGGATGATGTTTTCCCATTTCAAAATTGGGCGGCTATCTTCAGCACCAAAGATATTACCAGCATTTAATGGAATGATTTCCTGAAAGCTGTAAATGAAGTTGCTTGCAGTTAAATAATTGTAAACTGAAAAGTCCCTTTTCAGCAAGAGCAAATTATCAAACTAATTAGAATTTGAAGCATATTTGATTAATTGACGGAAACAAGATGGATAACAGAATCAGAACATGATACTAAATAGAATGGCAAGGAGATCAATAATTTCTTGTAAATTCATTTCAAGAAATCAATCATCACCATTTGCCACTTTAAATCTTCTAATATAAGCAAAATGCAAAAGGCATTCAAGAAAAGGTGATGCCTACCCAAGCACATATATATCAGCGGGCTCACCAATATCTAGCCAACCATCAAGATCTAGATCATCAGGAGGAACTTTTCCACCGACATTCCATGTGCCAACACATACTCTAGTACAAGAATCATACACAGAAAAAGTTATCATTTCTGAATTAGCTTTTAAAAGGTAATCAAATCATGTTTGCACAGTAAACTATACACTAAAAACCTTCATGTCCAAGGAACTTAGGCAGCATACCTAATTTCCTTTGTACTTATGTATTGTGCCCTGAATGTCTCTGATTTTCGTCTTCTTAGCCTGGGAACAACTTCTGTAATCCAAACACCAAACTCTTAAAATTAATAATAATAATAATAATAATAATAATAATAATAATAATAATAATATTAATAATAATAAAACTAAACCATAGAAAACAAATATACACTATTCAATGGAGCTAAAATTACCATTCGCATCAATCTCAACTTCCCCACAGCTTCTTTCATCCTTAAACCGCGACTCCCTCGGCAACTCATAGAAATCTACAAAGCCAAAGCAATTTTAAACATTAAGCCATTCTGTCAGAATAAGTATGTACTTAGTACAAAGAGTCAAACACGATCATAAACCGTTATAGCATATAATAATTTAAAAAATTTAAAAAAAAAAAAAAAAAAACCTTGATCGGAATCAGAGTCGGAGGCGACTTCAGACTCAGAGTCTGCGCTGAAATCGGAATCTTTGGTTTTGATGTTGAGCCATTTTCGCATCACCACTCGCGGCCAGAAAGGCTGCAATCACGCGGAAATGAAACACACTAGATTTCAGCACAACTTCTCAGTAATTTCATACTCAACAAATCTCCGTACAGAAAATTAACAGAGAATAAAAATAATGGCGAAATACAGAATAAATCGACGGAAAATCTTTTACCTCAGCATGACGGCGATGCCTTGTGCTGTTCTTCATGGTTGGATGAAAAGAAACAAACGGCTATGGAGTAAAAAGAGGGACAGAAAATTGAGTAAAAAAGCTAAATCGAAAAGTCTAAGCTTCGCGAAAACGATGACCGAGTCTACAGAGTGGAACATATGCCCCGCCAGGCCGCCACCGCGTTTTTAAGGAAGAAGGTGGGGGTTTTAAGTTTTAACGATAACCGATTTTTAAATGATTAATTAGTGGACTATATTTAGTGCACTAAATTTTATTTTGGGCCCACATTTCTTTCTCCATTACAAATTTTCTTATTATTTTTTTAAGACAATAATGTTATTAGGAAATTTTTTTGATTCCTATTGCTCTATTGTCTCTTATAAAATATTTTATTTTAATTATACCAAATAATTGATTAAAAAATGAAAAAAAAATGTTTATTAGAAAATTATTTTTCTTGAGCAGTTGATAAGTGAACGGCTAATGCAACAAAGGTTCGCATAATGTATATTTAGAGTTTATTATTATCAGTTTAACGCATCCAATCAGGAGAATGAATATGACCAGTGAAAAAAATCCATGTCAAATAAGAGTCTCACACATTAACTTACTATCACTCATATTTCTTAATCTAGAATAACTTTATAGTTGCTTTCATGATATATTATTAAATTTGTTATATATAACTGATTAACTGCCTTACATTTTTACTAATATGTATTTTTCAGGAGATAAATTATTTCAATTCCCTATATGGGTTAGCAAGCGATTACTCTTTTAATAGTAATGTCTAAATTCCGTGTTATGTTGCAACTACTAAGGATATTAATCATAACGATGTTATATTTTGTTGCGTGGGGCATAATTTATCAATAACTTTGGTACGAATTCTATATGTAGAAGAAAGTAGAAGATGGTTGATGAACTGCAGGAATTATAGTACCATTGCTAAAAGACAACCACGTATTCGGTGCTATCTTCCATAATTATATGGTACAAATATATTTCAGGAAAAAAGAAAAAAAAAAAAAAAAAAAAAGCGGCCTAGGGAGCTGGACTTGCACTGTACATTTCTATTAACGGAGTTTTTTTATTTTTAATTTATTTGCTGGAAAACATCAGCAATATAGACAAGAGGAGAGAATGTAGCCATACTGTATAGTCAACTCGGCCACCTTTCCACCATTAATTCTAAAAGCTAAAGAAAAAGCCAAAAACTTCCCATTCAGGAATCTGAATGAATAAAGAAAACCAAGCTGCAATATATAATTATGCCAAATATATATATTATTCCTCGACTTATTTGATAACATAATTAATTTATCAGTAAATTTTAGTTGATTTTTGACCACTATTTAACTTAATTAATTAACTTTTTGATATATATAAATGGGTAATTAATTAGTTTTTTTGTTCTAAAATATTAAACTTCGTCACTAACCTAACTTATTGTAACAATTCACTAACGGCTAGCAGCTAACAACTATTTAATTTATTACCAAACACCCCCATTATATTTTTGTTAATGTTTATAATTAAGGTTGTTAAGCAACCAACCAAACCTAGGTAGCTTCCACATGCTCCTACATGCATAATTCACAAACGCATCATCATACCATACAAATGTATTATTAGCTCATCAAATGAATAATTCAAGAACCCATATACATTTAATTTTTCCTTTTTATTTTTAGATGAGGAGAAAAAGGTATTTAACTTTAATTAATAAAAAATTACAATGAGATAAATCAGTATAGGGATTAAGAAAGCGTATAGAGACTTATAGACAGCTGGGGTTGCCCTGATGTTCATTAAATAAACCTGAAGGGGACATGGGGTCCCCTAATCATTACTACTGCGGAGAAAGTGAACGTGGTTACGTGTGCATGGCAACCCATAAGACATAATATAACATGGCATGGATGAAAAAGGTTCAAATGGTCTGAATATATTAAAAAATAAAATAACAAAAATGGTCCAAAGTATTCGATAAAACAATTAAAATAGTTGGAAAATAAAAATAATATCTTAAATCTAGGGGAAAATAAAAAGAAATGGTCTGGATGGCAAATCATCATCAGAAGCATTGTTTAGATTGCAGAGGCAAACTTATCGCCGCCATTAGAGTCAGAAGCAGAGCGAAGGACTTCCATGGCCTCAGCGACTTTCTTCTTGAGGGCCTCAGGGGACTCAATAAGGTGGAGCACTTCTGTCTGGTCCATCTCCAACAACATGCCTGTTACTTTTCCCGCTTGGTCACGTTCAAGCCGCTCTACTAGCGGATATAACTGCTCTCCAAGCATCTGGAATGCAATAAAACACAGCATTAATTAGTACAGTTATGGAGGAATTAAAGAGGAGAAGAAAACGAAAAGGGGGCCAGGAAAGAGAAAATGGATCGGAGCTTACCATTCGCTGGTCCTCAGGGGAAGCGGAGGCCAAGGTTGAAGCAAGAGTTGGTGTGGGAATTGGTGCAGGGCGTTGATTGTCCATAGCAGGTGCTGCAACCCCTCCAGAAACGTCGAATGGCAATGGCATAATTGGCCCCATCAGACCTTGAGATGCCAGACTAGTAGGATGATTACCATTTGCTGTGTATCTACCAAGACCGCCTTGGTTGGAGTTCCGCTGCATCCACTGTAAAACAACAAGGATAGTTATTGATTGGGGTTTTGTAAAGTCAAATATGAAATAGATAGACAGGAAAAGGGGTTGAAAGAATATAATAATTGCACATACCTGCTGTGTTGGTTGAGTATTTGCACCTCTCCTCGCACCAACACGTTGTGGAGCTTGTCCCTGGCGATGGAGTTGGTATGGCATGATAAAATTCGGGGCAACACCAGGACACAGCCCTGGCACAAGTGGTTGCTGAAAACCATACCCGGCAGCCGCCTGAGGGGGCATCAATCCAGGAGTACCTTGACCAAAATAGATCTGTTGAGGGGCAGCAAGTCTGGGTGCCCCAGGGTGATATCCAGGGATCCCTGCAGGCAATGGTGGCATTGCACCTGTTGGTCGCATCTGTGCAAAATGTGCCTGCAATCAAAACAATATTTTTAGATCATATATAACCATTAGAACCTCAACAAATTAGAGCATAAAAATTAAAGGGTGTAATAGGGCAAATAATCACCTGTAGCCAAGCCCTCCTTTCGTCTTTGCGCTGGGCAACAGCAACATACAAAGGCTTTCTTCCAATCAATTTTCCATTCATTTCAGTCAACTGAAATTGAAGAGTGAAATGTTAGCCATGGTGCACTGACATCTTAACTATTTATAAAAATGGTTTTAACAAAGAAAAATGGAGTTAGCAAAGCTTACGGCTCTTTGAGCTTCATCTGGGTTAGTAAAGGCTACAAAGCCAGCACCCTTGCTGGTTCCTTGTGGATCAAGCATCACCTATAAATATATGATAAAAAAAAAGGTTAAAATTCAAGTACCTTATCTGAAGTAAATTTCCTTTAACTACTACTCAACGAAACGAAATGATACGTACCTTGCACGATGATATGGTTCCGTACCCTGAGAATATCTCTTTCAGTTTTTCATCAGTTATGCTGTCATCAAGATTTTTCAAATACAGGTTAGAGTGCTTTAACTTGTCAAATCTACTGGCTCTCTCTTGCTCAAATTTTGCCTTCAATTCTGCTTCCCTTTCAGATTTCTTCTGAGCCCTACTCACATACAAAACCTTGTCATTCATGGTACTTCCATTCAATTCTTTGACAGCAGCAGCAGCATCATCTGTGTTTTGGTAGTTAACAAACCCAAAGCATTTGGATTTCCCATTGCCATCCTTCATAACAACAGCACTGGTGATGGGACCAAATTTCTTAAAAAGCTTGTCGAGATCCTCATCCGATGTTGTTTCAGAAAGATTCTTCACATAAACGTTGGTAAACTTCTCTGGAACATAGCCTCCACTCCTTTCCTGTCTGCGAATAAAGCGGCCAACATAAACTTGTTTATCATTTATCAGCATGCCATTCAGTCGCTTGATTGCATTGTTTGCAGCCTCCTCTGCATCAAACTGTACAAACCCATGCCCTTTCGATTTCCCATTACCATCAACGGCAACCTTGCAGGAAAGAACAGTCCCAAAGGCAGCAAATGTCTCATACAAAGCCTTGTTATCAATGGAGGACTCCAAATTCTTTATGTAAACATTTGCAAATCCAGTCTTGCGGATACTGGGATCTCGATGAGAAAACATAATCCTTATGGGCTTTCCATTGACGGGCGTAAAGTTCAAAACTTCCCTTGCACTAAGGGCTGCAATATACAAATAAAAAATAATACAGGTTACTACTAAGGATCATTCACTAAACAGACTAAATAGTAATTCAATGACTAAAACTCTAAAAGTAGTTCCTAAAGTGAATTGGCATATAAAAAAACTATCTAACTAATAGGAAAAGAAATTCAATAGTCAACATTTTGTATATTTTATCAAAATTCAATCAAATGAGAAAATGAGCTAATTTAGGTCTCAGATTGCAGGTTGATCATCAGTTCAAAGCAAAAATAAACCCAAAAAATCAATCGCAATAAAAAACACCCAGACATACACACGAATATATAAATACGATAACGCAACACTAAAATTTCAAAAAACAGAGCATCAGTAGAACGCGATGATCAGAATTGTTACCATCTTGTGGAGTGCCGAAATTAACGTAGGCATAGCCGAGGGAGACGCGTCTGGACTGATCCCTGCAAACCCTAACCGATACCACTTGCGCAACCTGGTTGAACAGATCGTACAGTTGTCCTTCGTCGACCGAAGGATCGAGATCGCCGACGTAGAGCGACGAGTTCGTGAACGCTACCATTGCGCCCGTCGGACTCAGGGGCGGCGCCGGGCCCACCGAAACAGCAGAAGTCGCGCCGGCCAGAGCCGCAACCGCCGTGTGCACCGCAGTAGCCGCCATTGCAATGTGGATTGAGAGAATCGAAAATCAACGACGATGAATAAAGAATAAACAATTCAATCAAATAATCAGACCGAAAAGAATCTCAATTCAATAGCGATAGATTTATGAGAGTGTATGTATAGGTGAGATGAAGCTTTGGTGTGAAGACGGGAGGGAGCATGCGATGAGGGAGGAGGCGGAGATAAAAGAGAATTGCGGTTTATATATAAATGAAGACTGAACCGGTTTGTGGACTTCAGGAAACGGTTCGCTAGAGAGAGATAGCTATTGGGTGGGAGTGTGGGACGTACTGGCGGTACTGCTCACGTATGATTATATAACGTTAGACAAAAGTTTTTTCTTTTTGGGATTAGGATTCACAGGTGCTTTACTCAGTACTACACTTTCAGGGAATTATAGTCCTAGTCAAACTCTACCAATAATTTTTAAAACATTTATAATTATTAAAAGTAAAAACCCAGTTTGGATATATATAGAATTCAGCAAAAAAATATTAAAAAATAATATATGTATTTTTATGGAGTATAATCCCCATGTATACAAGTTTTATTGGATAAATAAAATTGAATGAATAAAAATAGTGATTCACTTTATTGTTTAAATCAATTAATGGATGCTATCTTAGTCGGGAATAGAAAATTGAGTAAAAAGTAGGAGTAAATATAGTATTATGCAAATATTGGCAATGTTTGCAGTCAATTTTGATTTGTTTGATAGCCAAAATGAATGTTTGGTTAATCAACTTTTTGTAATAATTTACGCCAAAACGTTCAAATTCAAAAAACAGCTCGAAGTAATTTTTTTAATCATTTTTTTTAGAAAAATAAATTATTTTTTTCAAAACACCCCCAAATAATTTAAAAAAAAAAAAAAAAAAAACAATGAGATTGTTTAGAGCAATTCCATTACTCTCAATGTCTCTTCACGACTACGCAACAGAGTGCTGAACGTGTCAACAAGGCTCATAAGTTCGTTAGCTAATATCGTGAAACTAATTACTAATTAGCAACATGACAAGTGATTACTGATTAGTGTCGTTTACCTTTTGATGTCCTTTATTTTTGCATTCTCTAGGCTTTACTTGGTTGATTGTGAGAAAGGGATCCCCCTATTGCTTAGCTCCTTATAGATCTTCTAATTATTTCAATATATTATTCTTTCTTTTATAAATCAATCTATTATACAATATCTTTTTAATACGATTTATTTATGCTATTTGTAATTTGTGAATTACTATAAATGAATGATATTTATCGAATGACACTCTCAAGCAATAATTATGAATTTTTCCTCCACCCAAAAAGATGTTCTTTATTACTTTAATAAATTTGTCATATTCTAACTTAAAAATGTATATTTTTAAAAAATATAAACATTAAAATGTACGACACTATAAAAAAATCTAAAATGTTATTATTAGTTAAGTTTATATTGATTATGAGGACAATCCAATCAAAGTTCATATACTTCCTCAACCTACTGAAACACAAAGAACCAATAACGCATTCACTAAGGCTCAAACTCGTAACCTTCTAAATGAAAGTCCAACCCGAATACCATTAGACCACATAGTTTTGGTGATAAAATAGTTTGTTTGGTAATACAAGAACCAGTAAATTATGAACAACCTAATTAGAATAGCCGCTGCGGACTTTATTGTAAATCACACCCTTAGATACAATTTATATTATCATAATGTTGATAGAATTAGACAATTCTCAATTATATATTCCTAATAAAATTAAGAATATGTTTGATTCATGGGTTTAAATGAGAATCAAAATCATAGTTAGTATTTAGTTGACTATATTGGAATTTGATTATCCCTTAAATTAAAAACTCTCATTCCATGCATTCAAAAAAAAAAAAAAAAACTCTCATTCCATAATTAAAAAGAGGTATCATTCCATTTTGTTGGTAATATAATTTTTAAGTTTGAATTGGTATTTTTTGATTTTTTTTAATTGTTTATAGTAGTTCTTTGAATGTCATTATATTAGGATCAACAGACTTGATTTTTTTGTTGTTATATTTTTAAAACTTGTATTCCTATTATAAAGTTATATATAACATTATATATCAAATGCTTTATTAGGCCGAGATGTAAAGACCATTGAATTAAGAATTCAATTTTTAGAAAATAAAATATAACCAAACATAATATTGGTAATCATTCCAATTTTATCACTTTCAAAATACTTTTACCAAAAATCAAATTACCAATATTTGATTCACATTCCTAACATATATTTGATTCACATTCCTAATTCCCATGTGACAACCAATGACCAATCATACCCTTAACAGTTCCACACCGCCGCCCCTCTACCAATCTGCTATATATTTTGCTCTCGTAAAACTATTCCCGAACTCCACCTCTATTATAATCCGCAGCTATGGTGAAAGGCAAGGAATCCCATCCAAATTTAGGGTACCTCACCCGCAAAGAAACGGCGGTCAAGCTGCCGAGGCCTACCCGGGTAAAGAATAAGGCCCCTGCTCCGATTCAAATCACCGCGGAGCAAATTCTCCGCGAGGCAAGGGCGATACAGAAGGCAGAAATCCGGGCGCGGAAGCGGAAAATTACTGATTCCAGTGAACTTGCGGAGTACACCTTCCAGAAGCGCAAGGAGTTTGAGGACCAAATCCGCCGTATGCGGTGGAACAAGGGTGTCTGGGTGAAGTATGCTAGGTGGGAGGAGTCCCAGAAGGATTTCAAACGCGTCCGCTCTGTTTGGGAGCGGGCGCTGGAGATTTTCTATCGTGAGCCGACAATTTGGGTTGAGTATGCGGAGATGGAGATGAAGAATGAGTTCATAAACCATGCTCGGAATGTGTGGGAAAGAGCTGTTGCCCTCTTGCCTAGGGTTGATCAGCTTTGGTATAAGTACATTCACATGGAAGAGATGCTGGGGAATGTTGCGGGTGCTAGGCAGATATCCGAGAGATGGATGGCTTGGCGGCAGCCACATAATCATTAATGGAAGAAGCAAAAGACTTCTTACTGATGACTAGCTTATGAACTTATAATCATTTTTAGACTTTTCCAGTTTAGTTTGGAAAAAGCAAAAGATATCTGTTGAGAATGGATAGCTTCTGAACTTGTAATTTGGTAAAGGGATCATGAAAATTTTGTTTTTGATTCGGGAAAACTTCTGGTTTTCAAAAAATTATGGAAAACTTTGTTTAGTATAAAAGCAAGAAGTTACTTTGTTTCGTATAAAAGTAAGAATTACCAAGTAATATTTGTTCTATATTTTCTCATCGATTGCGAACTAAAGAGTCAATACCCTTCGATCTGTGACCTTCTCTCCAGGAGACTCTAATTCTTGACCTTCAAGGAGAATCAATCTGAGCAAGGTGATTGGCCAAGAAGTTTATGCTTTATTGTAAAAAAAAAAAAGTTCAAATGTACAATATATTTATATGAAGATAAGTAGGGTTAAGTTGATTTGGCATGTTGATTAGGTTGACATGTATGCTTCTCACCAAACATATTGAACATAAAAACAACTTAATTTTTAAGAACCCAAAGTTTTAACGAAATTGATTACTCAATTGAACATAAAAATCTCACCTAACGTGACGAACATTGAGACAATATTGAATAAGTGTTCCATGAATGTTTGTCATGTCAACCAGGATACAAGAACCTCTAATGGAGGTACATAAACTTCCCATTCCAAGCTACATATATTGTCTTCACTATAGTTTTTGCCAACACAAATCCAGCTGCAAAAGTTATAAAACAATAAAGAAATACAAGCAGTTCAGTATGCAGTGGGTGCAAGAAGGATATATTTCTGCATACTCTTGACTGGAAAAAAGAAAAGAAAAAGGTAACAGTGGAAAAGAATGTGACTGCCATTTTCAAATCAGCACGAACAGCCATTATGTTGCTCTGTTTCTGAAACTGCATCAGGAATTCCCTGGAAGTATCTGGAAAACGACGGGGAAAAGGGAAAATATCATGGTCAGTTCAGGTACTTATTGATCTCAAAAGAAAGCAATTTATCTGGTGATCAAGATCAACCGCTGAAGAACAGTTATATCGTGCCAAAAAACCTAGAAGTTTATCCCAAAATTTGAATGGAGACATCGAATTTGGGATCACTGAAGTACGGTATGAGTCCCAATCCAAGACGCTTAACTACCAGGTAAGCAAGGCGGTAACTATGTCACTATAAAAGTCTGCAAATTCACAAGAATACTTACATATCCTGCTCGTGATCATTGGCTATCGCACTTCTTGAAATATACAAGAATGCCGCATCTACATTAATGTCCTCTCGTGCTGATGTCTCAAAGTAAGGTATATTTCCTTTGGAAGAGCACCAATCCTTAGCTTTACTTTCAGAGACCTGCATAGAGAAACCAGAACCAAGTGGTCTTTACACTAAAAAGTTTGAAAAGCATAGCAGCTGTAGAAATCTTACCACTCGACTATTCCCACCATCTATGTCAATTTTGTTTCCCAGTAATATGAAAGGAAAGGTCTTTGGGTTACTTGGATTAGCCTGCGTAGAAATTAAACCTGTCAACTTGTTAGAAACACATACAACGTATCTTAGTATCTATATTCATTCAGTGTTTACCACGAAAAGGTTCACATCAGAAAACGAGTAGCCAAGAAAAATAAGAGAAAGTTCACTTTTGGTCCCTCAACTAATAGTGGCATTCCTAGTTTTACGCCTTGACTTCGAAATTGGTGAATTGCCATCCCCTAACTTCTATGGCAATATCAAATTTACTCTTTTTGTTATGTTTTGGGTTAAAACGGATGGAAACGAGCTAGGCTGAAGGATGTGCAAAAATATATTGGCACTAGACATTTCGCACAAAACATCACAACCATGGCAAAACCACTACCATCTACCAATTCGGCTAAAGCCTCATAAGCCATGGTGTCTCTCGGTTTTGGCCTTCCCATAAGCATTCACAGTTATGAAATTGAGGAGTGAGGACTAAAGCTGAGACTTGAGAATGCCATTATAATCGAGGGACAAAAAGTGAATTCTTCGTGTAGGATAAACAAGAATGAAGGTCAAACTAATACATATAATTCGGTACATACTACTGCAATTTCAAATCAATCAGCACATACTACAAAACATATTGGCCCTGTTTGGTAAAATAGTTAGCCTATCAGCCAATTTTGGCGTGTTTGACCATTATTAGTTGTTTGACTTGGTTAAACAACCAATATTAATTAGCCTTTTGTAACAACTTATTGCTCTAAAACACTAAAATTCAAAAAGCTGTTCAAAACAGTTTTTTCGATCAGCTTTTTGATATGTATGTAATCAGCTTAGCTGTTTACCAAACATCTTTCTACAATCAGCTAATGTTATCAGCTAGTCACAACTAACAGCTATTTACCAAACACCCCCATTAGTAACCAGGACTATTGCCTTAGAGCCCCTGGCTCCCTGTAAGAAAAGTAACCAACCTACCTGCTTGAGGAATTCCTTGTGCCAGTTGACAAGATTATCAAATGATCGCAACACATTAACATCATACACCAAAACGCAGCAATCTGCACCTCTGTAAAACGCAACTCCAAGGCTCTGAAACCTCTCCTGCCCAGCGGTATCCCATATCTAGTAAACGTAGAACATACACTCATTAATAAAATACTTAGCTACACAAAAGCACATAAGTTTTCCACAAAACTAAAAGCCTCAAACCCCACTTGTAGTGTCACAAGCCTGTCATCAATTAGAAGCTCCTTGGTCACAAAATCAGCTCCAATTGTAGCTTTATACTGCTGACTGAATCTCTTATGCACATATCTAAGTAAGCAGTCAAAGACCCAAACATACAAGAAACAAAGCATCACAAAAACCACTAATTTCATATAGCATCTCAACTAGAAAAACCACAACCTCGGGACAACTCAGCCAAGTTGGTCGATTTGGTAACACAAGGTTACAAGTCCTATTGGTCTTTCTGGTTTGTGGTCTTTTGCAGGCAAGGGTCACATAGTTTACTAATGCACAAACTGGGGTCAAAAGTTGTAATTTTGACTTTACAGACAAAACTAAGGCAAAATAACACTAAATGAATGGCAAAAATCTGAAACAGACTGATCTCATAAATTGTGAAAATGAGAAGCAGTGGTGTACATCTGCATAAGGATCAAGATTCAAGTGGGATTCAGTGACTACATCAAAGGATACTGATTCATCAATGACGTTTTCCCAACCCTGAAAAATGGCAAAAAAAGGAATAGAGAGATAAACTAAATCTAACCCCATTATCATAAAAACGAAAACGAAAATAGCAGTACGACGTTAACAAAAAGAATCATACCCACTGTCCCCGAGGACGATGACCTTAAGCAAGGATCTTCTGCGTGACATGATGATAATTGGGCAAAGTTTCGATCTTTATTCGTTTTCGATTCTGGGTTGTAAATTCTTTAGAGAAATTTTGATTCCGCGCCGGGTGGTGGGGTACCTCCGGGATAAGCAGAAACAGAGGACAGCAGAGAGAAGGGGCGCCAGTTTCGATCTTTATTAGTTGTCTCCCTCTGCTTTTTAGTTTTCTTTTCTTTTACGGAGTATTTATTTTTTTAGTTTAATAAGCTCGAAATAAAGAGTAAATAATTATCGCTCAACTACCCAAAATTATGGAAGTATCTAAATGTGTTAATTTATTTAATTCACAATTTTCACCTAGCCTTTAAATGGATGGCTGAGTAGGTGAAACATGATTTTTGTATTAGAAGATTTCGAGTTTAATTCTGTCCAGCACCTTCTTAGTTGAGTATGTCGCATAGGTCTTCTTTGTACAGTTTACTTCTTCAATGGGATTTGCGGACTATTGATTTGATTGATGCAATTATATACTCCGTACTTTAGAAGAGGCGATATTAATACACAAAATCATTACATGTAAAGGTGATTATTGACTCCGATTAAATTTTAGCTTTCACTTGAAATTGACTTTAAAAGAGAATATGAAATGCTTTTATATTTACTCTCTATAATTTGCTCTAATAGTCGCTCTCATATATATTCAATAATTTTCATTAAACGCAGTCGGTAGACAACACCAGTGCACACAATAGCCACACATATCAATTCAAGATCCACATATGTAAAAGCAACTACAATAAATCCACAGTTAAGTTCTCTTTAAACCAATCAAAAAAAGAGAGAAAAAAAACATTATATCTTATCTTTCCACTCTTATGTCTAGTCTCTGTGGTTCATGTTCAGTTGAGTTATCATGATTTACATCCTCTCTCTGTCGGGTCGGGGTGTGGGGGGCCCTTAAGGTTGGAGTTCAGCCTTTAAAAAAATAAATAAAAACTTTGAAAGAAAACTCATAAAATCCGATTGTTGGGATACTCTAATTCACCATTGTTACTTTCACCCATAGTATATTAACTTCAATGCTATCCAATGACAAATCAACCTTCAAGGCTTCAATCAATCAAATATCATTGAGTACTATATGGTACAAGCTAAGTATTTTTGTGACAAAATTGCGACATGTCTGCCCCATGATTGTCCTATCATATATACGATCATGGAGGTTGCAACTTGTGATAAAATCATATGCATTCAATGCTTTAACTTATCTTTTGGTAATTCAAGTTCTTAGTTTCATGATTTCATTAGACTATAATACTATATTATAAAATTCTTAATCTGCATTAAACACATAAGAATGTAAATCAGGTCAATCTAACTAATGTTCTATACAAAAAGTTCAACCTAACTTAACCTAAATTTTCAAATACGTTATATTATTCTCTAGAATCCATCATCAATATAATTAAATCTCCTCAAGACCAACTATCCTTATCATGTATGTATTCATGTTCACACTCATGCAAGGTCATCCCGACAAACATTCCTAGTCGTATAAATACAACTATTCAAATCGACACAGTATATATAGTACTGCAAGATGACTATACCATATGTCTATTCAACAGTATTTGAATAGGAAATGTGTTTTTTATTCCTCTGCGGAATTTATCCAATTTGAAAGAAACAGTACCACATGCACTGTTAAATAATGTACCGTTTGTTGGGGGGAAAAAAAACAATACAATTTTTCTTTAGTCAAAGTTGTTAAGAGAAGGTCACAACAGACTGAAATTTATTTTGTCATTGGTTGCGGCAAGTAGTGAGGGGATGGTTTTTTCCTGGTCTGCATAATATATATCGGGCTCGCATAGGCAGTTTAGTTGGTAATAGGTGAAGTATGGAAATAATAATCTGGGATCGAGTCTCACTAAGGATAATGTGAAAGTAATCTTTCAAAGTGAGGGGGTCATTGTGCACAATAAGCAAAGACTTATCGTGTTTTAAGACCCAGAAAACCTATAAAAATCAATTTCTCTTTCCGGTCTCTTAATTAGCTTGTTTATTACTTCAAATCTTACTCTTTATAATTGTTAACTATTAACGGATTAGTCGTAGTCTCCACGAAAAATATTTTAGTCAAACGAGACATCGTGAACACATATAAAGTCGCATACAGAATCTTAGTGACATCTAGCTAGCTAAAATTATGCACCAGAAAAATCACACTCTTGTATAATAGTTCGTGAACCAAACAAGAGGGATAAATCCTAAGCAACAAGCTCGATCGAGAGACATCAATATTATTATATTGTTGGTATATGCGACAAGCATATATGCCTTTGCTTGTTTCTTCAAAAGTGCAATGTGAAGCTGCTTGGATGGCACAAGGAGGCGACATCTTCCGGTAGCAGACAAACAAAAGGGCTTTCGTGGTTATGAATGCCTTCATACGTTGTTATCAAATAATCTAAGTCTTCTGGATCCCTTTCTATCTTCTTCTTAACGTTGCACCCCTCGTTGACGCACTTATAGTAATGCCTGTTTTTAAATAGTGACTAATTAGAACGGTAAATGTTCTCTTATATATGTAATATAACTCGTAATCATACAGAAAAAGTAAATTGCATTAAAAAAAATAATTTATATGCCATGAGATGGATGAAAAGAAGTTTATCCAATACAATGGGCTCCATTGAGATGTTAAATTTTGGGATTTCTAGGAATAAATCAAAGGAGCTATATATGGATCGATCTGCTTTTTAAAAGGGTTTTATTTATGTCTCAATCCAATAGTAAAATAATAATATTTTTGAAGAATCTCAAATAAAGTAGATAAGGAAATCAGATTAAAGCATTTGATAAATATCGACAACTCTCATAAAATATTACGGAGTAGAAATTAAGAATTCACACACAAGCTTGCAAGCACTGCACATATGTATGCTAATATTCTTGTGACAAAGAAACATTTATTGGTCAATAAACATAGAAACTTCTATTGTGTGACATGTAAAAATAAAAAAATAATAATAAAATATAACAATATTATTTACATATTTAAAAAAAGAAAAAAGAAAAAAAAATCCATGGTTGCCGACAAATTTATTTATATATTTTTAACAATATAGCAATATTATTCACATATTTAATCTCCTATTTCCTTTTTTTACCTGGGATTGGTGTTACTCTTGACCATCTTCTTCCCATACTTCCTCCATTTATACCCATCATCCAACACCGGAAGCTCTGTCTTTGTTCGGAAAACAATCGTCTGTTCCTCCTTTGACTTCCTTCTCATCTCATTACTGCTACACCCTCTGCCCCATCAACATATATCGATCAAACATATATATTAAACCAAAACGAATTATAAATCATAACAAAATATATAAAAATACTAAAAAATTCTAAGGTTCCAAACATATCTTATACTATCATGTATACCCTACATGGCTACACAGTTGTAACAAATATTATTAGTAATGATTTATGATCGTAGTACAGTTCTATTTTACTGAACACGACTGATAATCGTCATACATATGATTATATTATAGTTGTGAGTACAATTGATAATGATGGTGACCCATAAAGATTTTCTAAGAATATTTATTAACATGATGTGAGTAACCTAACCAACTAAGTTGGTTGAACAGTTAATTTGATAATCATTAAGTTTCAAGTTCGTATGGATTAACGTTGTTTATTGGGCTTTTTTTTTTTTGCATAAATCAAAAGTTAATTTAAGATGACAAAAGTTGACAAGTACTAACATCATTTGCGAGCTCGGGCTGCTCGTCGGCGGCATTCCATCAAAGGAACTGCACGAGCTTCCGGTAGTCGTGGTGGTGCAACTCCTTTCCTGCGTAACTACGGCGGCAGACGGCGGCGAAAGAGACGACGACCCAAAGCCGCGGTGACCGGTACTATTAGGCGGCGGCGCCGGAGATTCGTCGTTGAGGAAGTGATTAACGTACGAAATATAGCTCGAAACCTCGGAAATTGGATAATAATGACGATGATAATCTTCAATTATACTAGGAAGATTATCAAAAGAATCATGATTGAAGGTGGGGTGATCTTTTGATGGAGGATTAATGTTTGCTTGGAGAAAATCTGAGTCGGACATCATTGTTTAATTTTTTTCCGAATTGAAGAATCTAGCCGGCCAGCCAGAAGACTAATGGAAGACTTTCTGGGAATGAAAACGCGACCGATACTCACATATATATTATAGAAATACACAGAGATATATATAATGGCGGCCCAGTATTCTCACATATATAGTTGTCGTTTTCTATAACAGCTTCCTCAGAAACTTCAAAGCATAATCCATGGACCTGCAGTAGCCTACGTCATTCGCTTGCGTCATCCCCGTGACGTAGGCATCTGGCTTCAAATTTAAAATTAATTTTTTATTTGGGCAACCTTTCTCTTTTATGGCCGTCGTTTTACGCTATCTTTCTTTCCCTTTTCCTTTTATTTTTGCCTTACGTTGTCGTATGACAAAAGATGGAATATGTGAGTTTATAATATTATCTTCTTTAAAGTTATTAATTATTATATTATTATGTTACAATCTTATTTGAATGTATCTTTTTGTTTTACATCTAGCGTGAAACACGCTCTTGTGATGATTGATTTAAAATTATGTCTGCACGGATTTAATTCAGTGGTTTATAAGCTGTATTTAAAAAAAGATGTGAATATTCTGCCATTTTTCAGAATTAAATCTTTTGATTGAAAATCTAGTTTTCAACCAACAGTCGAAAATATTAGGTTTTCAGTCATTAAAGGCACAATCCTCCTGGCTCCTTCACTTCTCATCATGTCAATCTCCTTTTAAAATTTCTTTCAAATGCATGCTATTTTGAAGGTTTTTATTTATATCTTATCATATAACTAAAGTGGCAGCTTTTTTAATAATAAAAAGTTAAATACTAAAGTATAGGGGATAGAATGAAATCAAATTAAAGCAATTGGATAGAGACAACACTTATAAAATGTTACAACGAATTTACACACTTAGATTATCATTAACAATGAGAATACTCTCTCACTTTTAGAAGTGAATCTCACTTTCACATCATTATAAATTCTTCATTATTTTCTCTACACCCCTGCAATACTCTCATTTTCAAAAGTGATTCCACTTTCATTTTATATAATAATAATAATAATAATAATAATAATAATAATAATAATAATAATAATAATAACAAAAAAAAAAAAAAAAAAGAAGTCAAAAGACTACCACTATGGTAAACTTTTGCAAGCTTGCAAGCCACATAAACTAACAAAATAAAATAAGAAATTATCTACCACATTATCTTGAAAGGGCTCACTTACTAGGATGAAGATAGGCTTACTATCAAAGATTAAATAAACTAATTCAATAATATAAAATTGAATACATTTCAAATGAATATAGAAATTAATATAATATTTTTTTTAATACATTTCAAATGAATATAGAAATTAATATAATATTTTTTTAAGCGACAAAAGCAATTCGTAATCACTATTCAAAGATATGTAAAAGATAAACCTCACGTAATAGCCTACAAACTAATATAATATTTAGACCCCTCAATTGTGGTCTAAAGAACATACCCATCTTACTTCAAATCCAATACCAATCTACATTCAAACTCCAATGTTCCTATCATCTAAACAGTTCTAAGCAGTCCAAATTCAATAACACTTCCCCCTTCCCAACTTATCCAGCTCGACTTTTTCTAGCTAAACCAAAGATTTCTTCTAACTTGCCTTCTTCTAACTTAACCAAAGATTTCTTTCCATTGTTGAGCATTTCGTAACAAATTATAATGAATCATTAGATTATTGGGTTAGACTTTAATTTATAATGTGTATTTTAATTTTGAAATAATAAAAATTTCATTGATAGATGGAAAACAAAGGTTTTCTGACCATATGTCTCGTCTAAGAAGCTTTAATAAAACTCGCAATGTTTGGTTCTTGGGCGTTGATGCCAACATTACATCTATCAACAACACCCAACATTGCAGAACGGCAGCATACTCTCCACTTTCTACTCATTAAAGAACAATCAAAGCAATAATCAAACTCAAAAAGTGGAAGTTTAAAGCACACTGCAATCCATAAAATTCTCTTCGGTCCAAATGTACGAGGAGCACTAGGATGGATGATAAATTCTACAAGAGAGAGCTGAGGCAAAGATGAGTCCTCCAGAACACATTACAGCAGTAGCAGTAGCAGTAGCGGTTAACATTCAATGCAACCATACCATGGCCTACAATTTAATCCATACCCAATAACAGTAGAAGGCTGACAGTTCAATGTATATGGGGCGGCCAAGAACTCAAGCCTTTGTCTCCGGTTCACTGCTTGGAGCATGTGCTTGCACTTCGCTACTAGCAGCTCCTGTTTCGATCTCCTTACCCTCTTCCTCAGTGTCACTGTCATCATCGTCATCATCATCTGCAGAGAGCGCATAAAATCTGAGCATAGCAGAAATCTCAAACAGAATGTTTCCCACAGATAACTTCAACCTCAGAAGATGGAAGCAGTGCATGTAAAATGACAATGTTACGGTCATAATCATGAATAAAAATACTTGCCTCCTGCTGCATCAGCGTCAAAATCTCCAGGACCACCCATGCTAAGATTCTGAAAGCAAGAAGTGTAAGAAATCAAGTAAAGCATCCACACACAAAGCCCCTGACAGGGAAGGATGGGTTTGAAGAAAACCAATTCAAGTGCATTTGTTCATGAATCAGATGCTTACCGAGAAGTCAAAATCATCACCACCAAAGTCCATCCCAGCTCCAGCTGAAAGTTACAAGTGTAATGAGTGTACTTAAAAAAGAAGTAATCAAAAGGTAAAGAGGAGCACGAGATTCAGTGTTTACACTTTTCATTTTGAACATCTTAATAATTAAACAAATAAAGAGGACGAGGGAAGATTTGGGACTTACGTTTTTCATCTTGCTCATCTTCATCAACCCATTTGTCCCAATCTACTTTCAAAAATACTGGAGGCTTACCCTCCTGTTTCAGCAGCCTGCTCCACCACTTATCTTCTGCCTTCTTTACAAGATAGCAGATATATCTAGAAGTTGTACTGCCTTTGCTTTCCTAAATTGTGATTTTACTAGAAGTTAATTTGAATTCCCTCATGAACCATAATGGAGAAGAAACAGAGGAAGGGTTGTCACTTACATTCACATCAACTTTATCAAAGAGCTCAAAGCTCACTTCAAATGGTGTGTTATCTGCCCCAGCTTCAGCAGCAAAGTAGAACTTTCCTTCTGGCTCCAATTTAAACTTCACATTTTTGGCATCTGGCAACTCAACAGTGATGAAGAGCTTGTCAGAACACTGGGCCCACTTGACAGAAGGATGACGGCTGAGCATTATCCACACAGAAAAATATTGTGTCAGTCTTGGACTCTTGGAAGTCAATATCACAATAGAACCCAGTGGAACTACAAAAGGTAGTCAGAGAAACACTAATAACCATAAAAAGCAGTAGTATAAGACCAATAATGAAATTTCCAATAAATGTTGGGCATGATAACTGAATTATCTTTTGCATAATGGGCTGACGAGGAGTGAAGGCCCAGCAAAATGCAACTGTACAGAGCTAAAGGGACACAATCCACAGGGTACATGATCAAGTATTCGACATTAATTTTTACAACTGAAGTACACATTAGTCCTGTTCCATTGCAAGTGTTCAGGTACATCAACTTTATGAAGTTCTCATTCTACTAAAGAAGATCATTGCATTGGTCCACATAGATCCTAATTTAGTGAGATGAACAGCTTTACATGATGCAATGTATCTGATCTAGCATTTGCTATAGGATCTAAAGAGTTTGCTCAACTTTCATTCATATGATCATATCCCACTATCAAAATTAAAAATCCCAGGTCATTTAAATGACAATGCTAATGTGCAATTGTAGTCCAAAATCCCACCTAAAATACTGTTTCAGTTTAATCACATTCTAAACCAATTGAACACAGAGATCTCAACAAATAACTTTTCCTACTCGTTTATTTAATATAGAAAATGATAATACAAGTCAATAAATTGGACATACAAGCTCAACAAGTAACTCTCTGTTTTTTAACAAGTGATAGAGACGTCAACAAATATTCCGTTTTTCCTTTCCTACTTTAATAATTTTTCCCTTCATGATGATAGATAAGAGCAACTAACAGGCAAATGTCTCCCATATACAATCAAATTTGAGAAAGGAATCAAAACCTCGGCTCATGCAACAGTAATTGACTGAAACCTAGAAACAAAATCCGCTAATCTGTTCATCAACCTTAAACCCTAGGGCTTTCCAATAAATTTTCACTAAAAAAGTACAGAAATGAACAAACAAAGAGAGTAAATCTTCACAACAAACAAACGAAATTTGTAAAGGAAATCGCTTCGATAGAGTATGCAAATTCAGAAACAATGCCACATTAGTAATGCACGAATAGAAACGTAGAGAAAAGTGCGTGTATAAACGGAGAGTACCTCATCGTATCAGCTACTGCAGCTTCTTCGAGATATACGGAAGTTGATCGAAGTAGAACGTTTTGATCTTTGTACTACGGGTTCTGCACAGCGGTTCGTAGTTGGGCTCGAGAGTGTTATATGTTGGAGAACAGAGGGGAGCGGCTACTGGAAAAGTCTAGAGACTTCTTAGGGCGCCTAGATAAATTGGTAAAGGCCAACAATTTTACTTTTCTAATTTCTTTATCTTTTTTTAAAGTTATGTTTTGTTCCTTTTATTATTGTTACTATTTTCTTTTTTACTTTGATGAGTTAGAAAATGCTATGAATGTTTTGGGAGATGCTATGAATGTTTTGGGAGAGGAATTTTTAAAATAATGCTACAAATCTCTTTTAAATTGTTTACATAATGTGATACTATTTAATTAAGTTCTTTAATATTTGATTAAGAGTATGTGTAGTCAGCTCATTTATAACATTCTATAAATATAAACATACCATAAAAAAAAAATGTGATTGGAAGTTTGAAATATCAGATTAAGATATTAGAATGCATTGACGAATGAATATGATGTTAATGTCTGCATGAACTAATTGTGTCATCTCTTGTAAACCAAGTTGAAATGGTTGGGTGATTTCTTAACTAGCAAAGCTGGGCTAAAACTATGGTTCACAAGTTAATTCGTCTGGCCGCTTCTCTCAGGGAAGACTATGGTTCACAGGTTAGTTCGTCTGGCAGCTTCTCTCCGAGGAGACGGTAAAACAACAAAACAGTAAAAAAAAAAACGTGTTTATCCTTCAAAAAAAATGCCAAAACAGCAAAAGTTTGCCGATGATGAACAATACTCCGTCAAATATGGTGTGACACTATTAATCTATGAAAAAAAAAAACTTTGTAAGGACTATACTTAATGGTAACGTTGAAGGTAGAGCAAGGTGCGGAATGGCCTATGTGGAGTCTCTCCTGCCCAAGTGCACCTCTTTCTCACATGTGAAGCAGCTCCAAGCTCATCTTATAACCACCGGCCTCTTCCACTTCTACCCATCGCGCGCCAAATTCCTCGACTTCTGCGCCGCCTCAGCCGCCGGCAGCTTCCAATACGCTGCCTTCATCTTCCGGCGCATCCCCTTACCCTGCACCAATGACTGGAACGCCATCATCCGCGGCCTCGCCCAGAGCGACCAGCCAATTGACGCCGTCGCGTGCTACGTCCGAATGTTACGCGCGCGTTGCAACCCCGACGCTCTCACCTGCTCCTTTACGCTCAAGGCCTGCGCCCGTGCCCTTGCCCGATTCCCGACGGTTCAAATCCATTCCGGCGTCGTCCGGTTCGGGTTCAGCTCCGATATCCTGCTCCGCACGACTTTGCTCGATGCATATGCGAAATGCGGGGACCTGGATCACGCTCGCAAGGTGTTTGAAGAAATGGAGATGAGAGATGTAGCTAGCTGGAACGCGTTGATTGCCGGGTTGGCTCAGGGGAACCGCCCCAGTGAAGCTTTGGAGCTTTTCAAGAAGATGAGGGAAGCAAATATTGAGCCCAACGACGTAACCGTGCTGGGCGCTCTCTCTGCGTGTTCACAGTTGGGAGCGATTACAGAAGGCCAGAAGGTCCACGAATATATTAGAATGAAGAATCTTGGCTACAATGTGATCGTATGCAATGCTGTTATCGACATGTATGCAAAATGTGGATTTGTAGACAGAGCTCACCAAGTGTTCGATGAAATGAGATGCTCAAAAAGCCTAGTTACATGGAATACCATGATCATGGCTCTAGCAATGCACGGAGATGGAGTTAAAGCACTTGAGCTTTTCGAAAGAATGGCTCAGACTGGAATGAAGCCAGACAGTGTGAGTTATTTAGCAGCATTATGTGCATGTAACCACTCTGGCATGGTGGAGGAAGGCATGAAACTATATCAATCAATGGAGAAATATGGCGAGAGCAAGAAAGTGAAGCACTATGGTACCATGGTAGACCTGTTAGGGAGAGCTGGGCGGTTAAAGGAAGCATACCACATTATAGTGACAATGCCTATGGCTCCAGATATGGTACTATGGCAGACCCTACTCGGGGCCTGTAAGACTTATGGCAATGTGGATATGGCAGAGAAGGCAGCCGACAAGCTCATTGAAATGGGATCAAACAGTTGTGGGGATTTCGTGTTGCTTTCCAATCTGTACGCCTCACACAAGAGGTGGGCAGATGTAGGAAGAGTGAGGCAGGCCATGAAGAACAGGGATGTCAAGAAGGTTCCCGGTTTTAGCTATGTCGAAGTTAATGGTGTAATGTACAAGTTTGTTAATGGCGATAAAAGCCATCCAGACTGGATCGCGATCTATGGGAAGCTTGATGAGATTTGGGTCAGAATAAGCGAGTATGGGTATGTGCCCGAAACAAATTATGTGTTGCATGATATAGAGCAGGAGGATAAGGAGAATGCCCTGTCTTACCATAGTGAGAAGTTGGCAGTAGCTTTTGCTTTGATTAGTACAGGTGATAGAACACCTATCAGTGTAAATAAGAACATCAGAATATGTGGAGATTGCCACATTGTGATCAAGCTTGTTTCAAAGATATATGAGAGGGAAATCATTGTCAGGGATAGGACTCGATTTCACAGATTCAAGGATGGATCTTGTTCTTGTAGAGATTATTGGTGAAGTTGCTTTATAATTTATATTTCTTGAAAGTGTTCACTATTGTGTTAAGTGATTATACTTCAATGACACTATATGGCAACTTGTGTTCAATGATTTTAAAAAAAAAAAAAAAAAAAAGTCTTCAATAAGAATCAAAGTATACACATTCAACATAGTTCATCAAAGTATTAAACAATTCTAGTTACATGATCTCCATAACTGCTTAATAGAACAATAGGCAATACAACACTGTCAACCTGCTAGAGTATTAGCAAGTTGTAATCATAATCAGAAATTTCGAAATAATACATAATAGGTTAGTGGATTGGCACAGCAAATTGAACAAAGAAAGTAGAGAATGTAAAGGACTAGTGACTAGTTCCACAGACTTCAATGCTAGCGGAATATAAACCTCGTCTTTTTAAGGGTACAGAATACAGACCTTGTCGATTCAAGGCAGCTGCGGCTCCAAGAGTGGAATAACCTCGACTGGTAGCTGTTCCTGCTACGACATGTCAAAGATACGTACACTAATGGGTTACCTGCGATTAGTCTTTTATCAGCCGTGCCTCAAATCCTCCTTCGGGTCGTTTCACAAGTTTGTATGGAACGTAAGTTCCCAATAGTTTGTCCCAAATAGGAAAGAATGGCTGAGAGTAATTGTATTTTGTGCCCGGGAGTTGATGATGGACATCATGGTAAGCAGTGTTGTTTTGAAAGAACAAATGGAAGATATTGCCGGGCAACCAGAGTCCACAATGATCATCAACAGTCTTCACAACCGCAAAGCAGAAAAAAATTGCAGCAGTCCGAGCAGTCATTCCCGAGATAAGGTAAGATATAGCACCACCAAACGTATCTAGCAGGAGACCTTCCAGTGGATGGTTATAAAGGGCTCCAATAGCATAGGGTACAACCAACTTGTGATGCTGGGAGTGGATATGGCGATACAAGAATTTGTTCTGATGCATGTAACGATGCACGAAGTACTGCCAAGTGTCCATTACCAGCATCGCAATTACAATTTGCACAATCTGAACTATGATAGAGGGCTGAACTACAGTTACAGATGGGGTCGGGCTTGAAGTTAACTGCATCGAGAATTCAAGAGGTTACACTCAACTCATTATCAATGCCTTAAAAAGGAAACTAACAGATACAGATTAAAACTACGAGAACGAGAGACAAAGCAGAAGAAAAGTATAATATTTATCCAACTATAATGCATAATTCATTTTATCTACTAAAAATATATGTTAAGTAAACAAGGAATATTAGCTGACACTATTTTGGGATGTCTATACTGGATATTAGTAAGTTAAATACTAATGCAATGAATTTTATGTCACCTTTTTGACAAGACAAATGTTAATGATACTATACTATCACCCTTTATCCAACTAACATAGGGGGAACACCATTTACACGCATTTGCAATTTTTAGCTGGCTAGTATTGGTTGTTGGTGCATTTAACACAAATACGTATTCCAAAAGGGAAAGGGGTGAAAGGCAAACATGATGCTTGTACTGGTGTCTACTTGTATTCTAATTGGCAACAATGCAGCCTGGAAAAAACAAGGGGGTCGGGGAGTCTGGGATGGTGAGGTCAGTTACCATTGAGAACACAACACCATTAAATAGAGAACACCTCTTTTTTTGGTATAACATTCTTCCACAATACAAATTCCATTGAACTAAATGCACTGCCTTTGTAAAAGATGTGCAAGTATGGGTCAAACTGAAACACTGAAGTTGTCTCATACCAATCTGACTATCAACCTCCAGTAAACTAAACACAAGTTGATCAGACTATTGGTTTGGTAACCATAAGGTTCCAAGTTAACTCCTAGTGGGAACAGTCTATTGGCCTTCTTGATTTGAGCGAGCCAGTGGGTCCTTTGCCTCACAACTCACAAGACAGATAGTAAATGCAGGTTTCCTCATCACTCAAAAAAACATGTAGAACCACTGATAAAAACAAAGAGAAGGGTGGAAATGCACTTCCAAGCAGTAATGAAAAGCTGGATTTAGCTGCATATCCTAGAAGAGATTTTTCCCAAAGCACCCAAGTCAATAAGCTTACCATTTACCAATGACTAATTCAATATCAAAATCTACACTGCTTTAAACACCATAGATTCAAACAACAACAAAAAGCTGATGGAATTACCAAAAAGAGCAGATGGGCAACAGTGGCCTGAACAAGCTGCTGAAGAAGAACCCCTTTAATCACAGCAAGCAATGGCACTAAATTCTTCTCATCCTCCTCTTTCCTGGTGTGCAACCGGTAGTTATCTAGAGGCGGCAGCAGCTGATAAAACCCAGCATATAGCCAATACACAACTATTGGAGCAAACGTCCCCATCACTTCATCACTCACATACCCATCCCAAAATACCATTTTTCCTCTATAAATGATTAAATCCCTCCAATTTCTTCAAGTCAAACTACCTAAAATCGTGATTTCCAGCTCAAGATCTACATAAACCAATGCTCACCATATTACTCTGAGTAGCTTAAAAAGATAGTAAGTAGGCTCCAAAAAGGTGCCAAAAACAAAAAAAAAAAAAAAAAGAAAAAAAAAATATTGAAATACGCAAAATGGGTCAACTTACATGACAGTAACTGTTGAAATCTCTCGCGGAAATTTTGTCAAACAGATCTTGAGCATATAAATGCGCCAGATTATGCTCCTAAATCTGCATATATATACGTAATTATTACGCATATGTGTATATATAAAAGTATTAAAAAAAAGATTGTATTATTTGAATGCAAGGGCGGTGATAAGTGTGGTGACAGTTGTGAGATTCGAAAATTTTGAAGTTATTTTTGGAGAAAATAGAGCGACAAAACAATGGGTCGCTTTGATGTTTTTTTGGTTTCGTTTATTATTAATCTGACTTCTACCATGTACGGTACGGAATAGATTTTTTTTACCGGTTTCTTAATTCTTATTCCAAACTCCAGTTAAATAATAGCCGTTGATCTGATTGTCAATTGTCATCTGTGGAAAGATTTTTTTTTTTTTTTTTTTTTTTTGTTATAAGAAAATCATTTAAATGAGCTGTGATGCGTTTATTTGTACACCCAGTCAACCTAAAAGGTACAATTTCACTTTTCATTTTTTTTTTTTAAATTCTAATTTATAAGTTACAGTTTATTTTTAGAATTTTTTTTTTTAATTTCAAAATATTATTATTTAGTTCTAGTATTATTGTGATATGATTATTTTTTGTTCTCCATCAAAAAATTGTTAAATTCTATAAAATACAGAGTACTAATTAACATGTTTAAAACTCATAAATGACCAACCCCAACCATCCAACCAAAAAAAAAAGAAAAAAAAAAAGGAGGAAAATGGCACTTCAAATTGGATCCAAAACCGTGAACTGACAATTCAAAATAAAAATTAAATCGCGGTTATATATACTTGTATTTGAGAATAAAAATAAATGCGAAAAGAACATACACTATTTGTAAATATTATAATTCTAATTTTAAGCTAATGCTAGTAATTGTTCCGATTTGAACCTCCAGTTCACGGTTCAGGATTTATTTATTTTTTCAGTTCACGATTTTAATAAACGAAAACCCAATTATTGGATTCTGGTTCTGAATCATAATCAAAATATTTCGATTTGATTGTTGTAGTGTCCGGTTCAGTTCGAACCGAACCGTGGTCATCTCTACGTATAAGCAATAATTTGTTGAAGAAGAGAAATAAATAAAATATTTATTTTAAAGGTAGAAACGTCCATTTAATATATCAGGGAAAAACCCGTCACTTTTATAATAATTGATAAAATAAATGTGGATGCATGAATAACACAAGAGAAAAAAAATATTATAAGCATATAACTTATGGGAAAAAGGTGTCATTTTCCAAAAAAAAAAAAAAAACACAGTTTGTTTATGTGCCAACACCATTTTTCTTTGTTTAAAACCTATATATTCCTTTCATACTATTCCGTGCTCATTAGTCTCATCCCGGCGGCAACAACCGCAAGTGCACGACGAAATCGGAGTAGAAAATAAATCAAAACGAGAAATCCATTCTTCGGTCTTGAAAAGTCTATTGTTTAAGACTTGACGATCCTCCCATGTTTGGCATAGCAGCGAATTATTATTATTGGCAACAAATGGATGATTGAGTAGCTTATCAGCACTCCATCTGACATTTGGGTTTCTTTCGAAACACCTCATTACAAAATCCTTAGCACAATCAGATATGTCAGTTGGGACTTGGGGTTCGTTGAAGGCCATGTCTAGAGCTAACTTATTGTCGTCATTACTGTTACATGATGATGAAAACCTCCAAGGCGACTCCCCGACCATCATCTCCGCTACCATGCACCCTATTGCCCATATATCTTTAGGCGCCTCGTGCATGCCGCAAAATAGAGATTTGGGGGAGGTGTAGAGTAAAGCTCCCCGGTGACCCTCCTCTCCGGCGACCTTAGATAGCCGAAAATCACCTATCTTGAGCTGATTCAAGCCGCAACCACACTTGCATGGGAAGAGAAGAACGTTGTTGGGCTTCAAATCGCAGTGGACAAACCCGAGACGATGAACTTCTTGGATTCCCTTCAGAAGCTGATAAGCGTAGAGCGAAGCTTCAGATTCCGAGATGGATCTTTCCCGGGAATTGATCAATCTCTGAAGTGTTTCGCCGGGAACGTACTCCAACAGAAGGTTGTACACATTGTTTCCATGCTCTACACTTGTGTCGTCTCCAAAACACTGAATTATATAGGGACATCCTCGAAACTTTTTCAGAATTTGCCCTTCCTCCCAAATGGAATCAGAAAACTTGACCTTCGAAGACTTCACGACTAACTTCACTGAAACACAAGTAGGTGAAGTATAATATTGAACGAGAAACACAATGCCGTGAGCTCCCCCACCAAGGAGTTCCAACTTTTGGCAATTCATACTGAAGATGTGATGACTGATGATTACTAAGATAGTATGATGATGAAGAATTGATGATCCACAATAGTGTTGGTACGGTATTATATAGGAGTTGAGAAAATCTCTCAATCCAATTAAGTTTAGTATTAGAAGAAAAAAAATTAATAAAAATTATATAGTAATCCCACTTCAATCCGGAATAGAATTCAGAAACATATTGGGACTTTAAGTAATTAGGAAAATTACGAACATTGTAGACTAAAAAAATTAAGAAATAATTAACTAATACATTTTTTTGTTTTAATTTTTTTTTTTCATATGTTGTGAATAAAATAAAATTCCCTGGTCGTAATTATGAAATAAAAATTAAAAACTAATGTTTAGTAATATTTCAAATTTTATTCTGACACAATAAATCAAATATCTAACTAAATATAAACACAATAATATGATATATTGTTAATACAACATAACGTTTAAATTAAAATCAAATTTAGTGTGTGATGAGCATTCTTAGCTTGGTATACTTGGAGAGTATAGAGAGTTGGCCTGAGGATTCCAAGAATTTCTCATGTATCCACACTTAGCTTAATCGATCTTCGCCTCTTAGCTTCAACTCACACTTCACAAGAAGATCCTACGCAATGTTCTTGCAGCAACACGGGAAGCAAGCTTTCCTACTAGATCGCCTGGTAAAAGCAGCAGCTTTTGTTGCATATTTTGTGGGAGCTGCCATGTATATATCATTGATTTCCTTGTTAGTTGTTATAAACTTGAATCCAACTCTGGACGCCACCAAAGTGGACACAGACTCTGATACCATGTTATAAACTAAGATTGGGATGATGAATAAGGATACGGCTTCAAAAACTATTAAGAATAATGCATACCCTTGATTAAGTATCAATCAAAACTGGCTAATAAGTGCAGTCTGCAAAATTTATTATTTACCTCTGGGATGACAGAAAGAAGTGGCAGTAGTTCCTGAGCAGATTCAAACTGATTAAGGGCAAAAGGCACTCCATTTGATAGTTCCCTCTGGTTAGAGTGTGCGTTGATGCCATTAGCCTTCTACAAAAGAGTTAGTCAGGAGAAGTTACTAATTAAATGTCAAGTCTGCAAGATATTTTGCTACAATATAAAAGTCATAATATATAGGTCTTTAGATTGGGCAGTTAGATTGTATAAAAGATGTAAAGAACCTGCCTAAATGGTGACTTCCTAAACAAGAGTGAAACAGATAGAAGACTAAACTCATGGCTTCAAAAATATTAAGTGAAGTGCACGTACAGATCTAATATTAGCCCTGTGTGATTCATATTAGTTGCACAACCCTTGGCACCTATAAGGCCTCCTTGCTAATTGTGCTATTCAAGTATTCATGATTCAAGATTGAAAAAAGACTCCTAGTTTATCAATGGAAAGCCCTCTTCTACTTCATTTAGAAAACTACCCCAGAGCAATAATATTAAGTTTATGACACTTTTATGGCCACCAAATATAAATGTTTAGATGCTTCTCCCAAAATTTTCTGAATTATCATCTTACATTGGCTGGCAATGCATATACACCCAATCTACTTGTTGATACTCATTTGAGTATTTACCACTTGATGTCTGTTGTCTGTCATACTACAGATTCACCAGAAGACTTTAACATAAACACTCTGGTCTTCTAATTGGTATAATATGATCCAGTAATTCACTAGACTTAATGTAACTGATAGTGTACAAGCAAATTCAAGTGAAACAGTTTCTCAGAAATATTCTGCATTTTTGTTGTAAATCAATATTGTGATAACACTCTTCTTTTGAGTAAATGTTTCCACATGTGTTACACTCTTACCATGCTGGGTCTTTTATCAAGTCCTTGTAGAAATAGTACAAGACGCTGCAAATTTCTCAGATTCATAATATCTTCATCTGTCATTGAAGAAAATGAATCGGAAGGAGAGAAGGGCAGGTTTGCAGACACAGCAGTTGTTACAGACTCAAGAGTTGCAAGCCCAAGCGCATCCAAACCCTATTATGAGAAGTGAAAAAAAGCAGAAATGCCACAGTATTTGAATGATGATTGTGTTCAAGTTAAAGTAATCGGGAACCTATTCAAGCCTCTCATTTGCATTGTAACTTCCAAAGAAATACATACCTTAGCTAATTCATCAAGAAGTACTTCTCTTACAAATGTACCCTGAAAGGTTCAGATGATTTTGCAAACATGTCAATGTATTCCAGTCTCATAATCATTAATAGCAGTAGCAAATAGCAAATAGCAAATCATAGGGCAGGATACCTTTTCATCCAATGTAAAAGCAAGAATTTGCTTGATAATGACCCTGGTTTCACTGACATCAGTTTTCTTCAGGGTTCTCTCCATCCTGGCACGGAGAGACTGTTAAAGACGAGTTAGGCTCCAAATGTCTAGGAAGTTAATTGGGAAATATGATAACAAAAAATTGATAGGAAGTAAAGGATCCATTCTTTGACATTGATGGAAATCAAGTAAAGAAAACAGTATGCAAGTGCTGATTCTGAAGAATACAAAATGTGTCATATAATCCGAGGAAAATGCTTTAAAGTCCATAGCAATTGACATGCTGGTTTTAAGAGCATATATGCTTCACTATTGTTCCAAAAACATTTTCAATAACTGACATCTGATATAACGAGTCTAGGTGCAGCTGATGCATTGTGAATTTGTGATGCAATATGTGGAAATATATGTAATCTTACCTCCGATATGAGAGACTCCATACGGTCAATCCTGAACGTGCCATCCTAAAAAAAACTTGGAATTAAAACTATGGATGGCGAAAACACAGTTGTATAAAACTAGATGAATCTGCATGTACCTTATAAAGAAGTGCCTTTAGAGTAGATTTCAGTTTTGGTGAGCTGTCAGTAAGTACTTTTCTGGCAATCCAAGGGTATGTACTACCTAAAACTTTGTAATTTGGGTCAAAGCTGATTGCAATACCCTCCAAAACAGCAAGGCTGTATATCCCCAAAAAATGAAAATGAAAAATTGCAATTGCTAACTTCTACTTCTACAATTTGTATTATAGACCAAAAAAACTATTTAAAAACAAAAACAAACAAACAAACAAACTACAATTTGTAGATTGTAATGATATTAAGATAATTAAAGAATAATTTAATGATACTAGAGACAATAGATTTATTCTACTGTTAGTATTCTCATTATTATTTAAATAAGAGGATGTATACCTTCGAATTACTAGGGAAAAATAGGAAGGGATTTGGAATTTGAATTTATACCTGCAAATAATTTAAAAAAAATATTGACTCAGAATACTATTAGATTGAGAGATTTCATCTGTAGAATAAATATAATTGTATGTTAATTATGGTATTTTCAAATGTAAATTAGAAATTGGGTCTCCAGTGAAAAATAGTAATAAGTTTACAGGAAAGCTAACCTCCATAATTGTATATTAATTATGGTATTTTCAAATGTAAATTAGAAATTGGGTCTCCAGTGAAGAATAGTAATAAGTTTACAGGAAAGCTAACCTCCTATGAAGAAAATTTAAGCAAGATTTTTACTGAACTATGAATATATGTGTAAAGAAAGGCAGGTGCTCATTTCATTTTTGTTTTAAGGATGCTTATCTGATACAATAATGTTTAAATAAGATCATGAGATCTTGAAATATAAAACTCCATTCTTGCAAAACATCTTTGCTCAATTAGAGAAATTTAAGTTGAATATAGGTAGAATGCATGTGGCATTTTCATTGAACTATCCATGCAAAATGTACAACATATTATATAGAAATGTTCAGTTAACCCTTGAAATAGCTGTTAGAAATTGTACATGGTGAATCCTAAATCTGTGAGAAGATCCCCAAAACTTATATTTTGGACTCCTCTTGCAACAACATCTTGGAAAACACCTAAAATAAGAGAAAAAAAAAAAAAGTTAGTACATGAAGGCTATATGTCCCCTCTATCTCTGGACTCAAACAAGGTAAGACGGTTAATTAATAAAGATTTTTAGTGTGTAAAAAAAAAAAAAAAAAAAAAACAGAATTAATAAATACAGATGCAGAAGCAAAAACCTGTTAATGCCTTTGTAACGGCATCCTTGTCTGCTGTTGGTGGAAGAAGCCTGTCAATATCAACATTGAAACATGACACATACAGACATACAGTAATAACATTTTTATTGGCTATTGAAGAGAAATGTAACCATAGTACCCAAGAGTGACAAAGTCCTTGGCCAGTGCATCATAATCACGATTTACAAGATGGAGACATGCTTCAATGAAACCATCACGAAATTCTTCTTTAAACTCACCCATCATACCAAAGTCTGGAGATTAAAAAAATCTCGCCATTAACTTTTTGGTGGTTAATTGTTAAAAAAAAAAAAAAAAAAAAAAAAACAAAACAAAACAAAACAAAAAAACAAAAAAAACAAACAAACAAACAAAAATAGTCCAAACTCCAAATGAGAATGGCTATAAGATCAGAAGGCAGTACAATAGCAATAATCAGAGACATTAGAAGGATTTTTTTTTTTTTCCAAACAATAAACACTATAGTATCTTGTTGTAACCTGGTAGCTCGTTATCATTCCAGAATCAACATTAAAAATTTCATAGAATTTGAAAGCACATAGCTTTAAAGATAGGTTATGAGTTGTAGCAACATACTTAAATGTCTTATACAGTATCGAGAAATAAACAATTTAAGCAGCTACTCTTAAAGTTCTCATTTACAAAACATAATACATGTCTCATTTTGAAGAGAGAACCAAGACTTCAAATAACTAAAATAGGATTGAATATTTTCACATTCCTACATGCTATTTTCCAGAAAACAAATTGAAGCTTTCTAATTAGGAAGAGTATCATGAATCCTATTTATAAACAAATTCAGCACATTAAGCTTTCCAGATTTCATTGCAAACCAAACCCTAGTGAACAGTAAATCCTGATAAATAAAACCACTTCTGTGTACTTTCCATCACATGAAAACTAATTGAAGATGCTACCTAAGTAGGCTAGTTTTCCATCATATGTACGAAGAAGATTTCCAGGATGTGGATCTGCATGATAAAAACCATATTCCAAAAGTTGATTGAATGAGCAATACACCCCAACCTGTAAACAAATCGGTGAGTAGGTATCTATTTCAGAAGCTATATATCACAACATAAATGTGTAACTTTGAGTTGATATAATAAAGTACTAAGGCAAATGAATTCCAAAGTTTGACCTCAATTAAATAAAGATCCTTTACTTCAGCCAGCTTTATACCCTGAAAAAAACCAATTTAATATCAGCAAGATCTACAAAGTGCCATCATAATAAAATAAAGCAACACTTATGTGATTGTACCTCCACCCATTGCATGGTGAGAACTTTACGAGTAGTTTGTGACACATACATTTCTGGCACCATAACATCTTTAATGCCGCCATATAATTTTCTGTTTTAGAAAATATTAAGCTATAGTTAGCACTAATAAAAAGGAGAGTACATTATACTAAACAAATGGACAACATGTTTGAGAAATGGGCTAACAAAAAATATACAGGGTGTGGATGTGAAACTCATTTTGTAAGCAACTAACTCTTTCAATCATGTAACGAACATGAAGCTTCTATCCATGAAAAAAATATTTCAGGAAAGAAAGGTGGCATATAGATCTGGGAACATGAAGTTCACCCTAGTTATATATTATTATTGAAATGAGGGAAAAGGAACAAGTTGTTTACTCTGAAGTCTGAACAGGATTTCTGTTGTAGAGCACGAGGCTAATAGTGTATCAAAAATATTTCAGGAAAGAGAGGTGTGAGAAACTAATGCATACAAATATCAACAAATTAAGTAGTATTTTACCTAAATTTGATTGCATTACTTGCTTCTCTTTCATAATCCATCTCCTGCATTCAATTTGATTGCCTGTATTCAATATAAAGCACTAAGAATATTCCTCTTCTGATACCAGGAGAAATACGTTTGTTTAAGCACAGATTTTTGGAGAGTAGAACATGACAGGTAAGCATATCAAAAAAAAAAAAAAAAAAAAAAAAAAAAAAACTTACAATAATAGAAATTTACGGTCAGAATTTCATTCTTTAGGCCTGGCCTGTTAGGGCTTAAGTCCATCCTTTATTTTAGTTTCTTTATATTAGTATAGGCCCAATCTCAAGGGCTGAGTATGTGTTATGGTCACTTTTGGACCATCAGTTCTAAGACATTTTAATTCCTTTGCTTAATAAAGTTTTTTTTGATCAAAAAATAAAAAATAAAATTGGTGAAATAAGTTATTCTATACTTCAGGTGCACCCTTTCAAAGTTCAAACAATGACAATCTTTTTAGGAGTCATTAACCCATAAAGAAGTTAGTCTCATCATTATAATTCCATAGAGATTAAGATGAACCCTGCTTATCTTTATCTTTCCAAAATAGATATACCTTATATAAACCTTGAAAATTCCAAATGCTTTAAAACGGTTGCTCAAAATAATCAAGAGGCAACAGGAACAGGAGTTAGTTGGATGTATGTAGCTAAGGGAGAATAAACTTCTTGAATCAATGGTTTATCAGCAAAGCCTCAACTTTTCTATTTTCCCTTCTTCAGTTACACCCAGGATGATAGAATCTTAAGTATCTTATTTTCAGATTATGCCTTTAAGATTTCTGATGAATCTAAGCATAAAACTTATTTTCAACCTCTAGGTATGGAGGTGAAACTAACCAATCCAGTGTAGTCCTTAAGCCAACTCCTTCTAACAGGGTGTGCTGAAGGGGTCTTATTTAAAATGTACAAGGAGGTATCCAGATTTGCCGTCAAAATGCAAATGAATACTTACCCGAAAAAGGCTTGATGCCCACTCATCAACAACTGCCTGCACATTGAAGAACATAAAATGATATGTATATATTAGAAGTGGTAAAGTCAGTTACTTGGAAACAAAAGGTGCTATTAAAAATGACAAGTGGTCTTCACTGGACAAGAAATATACTACATCTCTTAGACAAATAATTTGAGTTCTATCTTATGGAGCAAGTTAGCAATCGCCTAATATAAGTTTTGTGTTTCAACTTATCAGCCCCTGACCCCCAATCAGAAATATACTTTTTGGCTGCTATACCTGAAGATCAGTGTTGAATTTGCCTGCTTTCCTTACTAGGCCTGCTAGAAACCTTAAAATCAATATATCCAAGGAGATTGCAGCTTGAACTCCTGGCCTTTGCACTTTGACAGCAACTATTTGTCCACTACGTTGAAGCCTAGCTTGGTAGACCTTCCAAAAGATATTAAAAATGGCTTTTAGAAAGGAAGTACTGACAAGTAATCTTGCTTTAGAAATTGGATGCTGTCCATAAATTCATAAAGAGCAACTACCTGTCCAAGTGATGCTGCTGCAACAGGCTCAGGTGAAACCTCTGAAAATAGTACATCTAAGGGCAACCCAAGTTCTTGCTCTATAGTACCAAAAGCAACTTCATTGGGAAATGGAGTTATTTGGTCTTGCAACAATGAGAGCTCATCCAAATATGAAGGAGGAATCAAATCCTAGAAAACAAAACCATAAGGTAAGTCCCAATAATTAATGCATGTCTAAAATTTTTTAGCACATTCTCTAAAGAAGCTAAATTTGTGTGGTAGAACAAACAGTATGGTTGTAAAGCTAAACTAACTATGAGCTTGATTGAAGAAAAAGATGCCTTTATACCAGTAAGGTGAAATAGGAAAACTATGGCAATGTGGTGAAATAGGAAAACTATGGCAATGTTTTCATGCACTTAAAAAAAAAAGTTTTATTTAATGATCCCAACCACTGTAGTGTCTGCCAGAGAACAGGGGAAGATAAGAGATTGCGGGGGGAAGAAGATTGATTAGGGGATAGATTGTAGGGAGAGGAACGACATAATCTAAACAAACAGAATAGTGAGGGTTTCTTCATCTTTGATTCCCTACGAAGATTTAAGGTTTGATTGGTCTTTGAGGGCTAACATCCAACTGATTTTCCTGTATCAAATGGTGGATGGGAAGGTATTTGGATTGGGAATGCTTAGTCTATGTTATGGCATAACCTTTCTTAGACATGTTTCCAACAAGAATTTCTGAAGAAACAATAAATTAGGAGCTCAATGTCATCTTAATCTATAGATGTTAAAAGGTAAGCAGCAATGCATCATGCTTGAGTAACCTTCATAGTCAAATTACATAGCATCAAATATTTGTTTCAGAAACCCAAAGATCATTTTAGCAACTCCGTATTATAGAAGGAAAGAAGTATAGTAGTATACAGATAGGAAAAAGGTTTGGTATTATGTATGGATAAGGAAGCATTACTTACAGCCCGAGATGAGACAGCCTGTGCAATTTTAACATATGCCTGTGATACAAATCAAACAAAGGCAAGAGTGTTATTTCTCATTTTGTACAATATTTTAATAAGATATCTCAAATCAATGCTCAAAATAACGATCAGAGAGTTAAATTTAATGTAAAGGATACAACTTAATCACTGCTAGAGATACCTATATACCTTTAATAATTTATTAAAAAAAAACATACGAAAATTGAAATTAATTACTTTAACATTTAAATACAAAGAGGTACCGAGTCAAACACTCTGCAAATAAAATTGTTGGGTGAATAATGACAGAAAAATTACCGGGCCAAGCTGTACCAATATCTTCCTCAGTTGCTCAGCTCTAATCTGCATAGAGCACGAAGAAGAGTAGATTCCAATTCAGCTATTCAAGTATAGACATATACATAATACGTAAATTTTTGTCTATTTATTTTTGCTAATAAATTGAAAAGCTACCTTGAACATGTCGTCTGCTCGTTCGCTAACGGTGTCAATGTATCTGAGGGCGAACCACTTGCCGAGAGTGGAGCCTATTTGGAAGAGGCGTCGCAGCACAAGGAGCGGCTTCTTCTGATAGATTGCGGCTATTTTCGCGATGTTGTACTCTGCAAGTGTTTCCTCCTCGGCAGGACTAAGCTCGAAAACATAACCCGAGTACTTGGTAAAGTCATCCTCCACACGTACAGCCGCCGGCAGCTGAGGTGCTAGTCGGCGGGAATTGGAGGAGCTGAAACTGGCCCGTTTCGGCAAGAAAAAACGGCGGGAGGAATAGCCGGAAAAAGACGAGGTGGAGAACAGCGGCGGAGATGGTGGCGGGACCCCTAGCGTTTTCATTTCGTTTCTGTGGCGGAGGGGCGCGGAATTGTCAGGTATAACGGTAGAAGGACAGTGTTTGGATAGCCGGGAACCAATTAGGCAATTATTAATTTATTATCTTTTTCCGAACCTTGTGGATAATGAAAATGGGAAGTTATAGTGTTCAATTTCAGCACGGCAAAACTTCGCAAATCTAAACATTTATCCGGTGTACACTATTAGTTGATCGTGACAATTTTTTCTAGTCACTCGAAAAAACAAGAAAGTTGACAAATGCTTAGTCATACAAATTTAATAATCGATTTAAGCAATAGTATAATGAAGATGAACGGTTTAAGTAATAGGAGGTTAATTTCCCCATGTAACTTTAACTCCAATGAGAAATCAATAGAACAAAACATGCAAGAGCAGATTATCTTTGCCACAATATTTCTTCAATACAAAACTAAATTGCAGGAAGGTAAACAAACAATCTAGGCACTTAAAGGCCATTCATAGTCGCAGGTACAAAAACTCAATCACCAATTTGACACTAGAAAGCACCTATAGCAGCAGCCTTCCTGTTTCACATTCTATCTTCTCTCCGCCGAGGTGCACAAGTTACGATTTCGTCCACCCTTAAAATCATCTCAGCAGCCTCAGTTGCAGAGAGCAATACTGCTTGCTTGACTTTGAATGCCTCCGATATGCCCAGTTCTGCCATATTTCCAACCTGTCAATGGAGCCACATGTAAAGTGTGAGTGGAAGAATTTGAATTTGCATATAGTAGCTACATTTGTAGAACAACGCATCAAAAAAAAATAAAAATCTTTGAATGTTACTCACAGATCCAGTGATGACATCAATCCCGGCAGTGCATCCTTCCTTCTGATGTTCAGCACGGAGTTGAGCAATAAGTTCAGCACTGTCCAGACCAGCATTGTCAGCGATGGTTGTTGGAATGGCCGAAAGTGCCCGTGAGAAAGCTTCAATTGCATGAGATCTTTTCCCAGGAGTTTTTTTGGCCAGTTCATCTACTGCCTTAGCCATTACCATCTCGGGCCATCCACCACCAAGTAATACCCTACTATCATTCACGGTCTGTGAAAGTACACACAAGGCATCATGCAGGGATCTTTCAGCTTCGTCTAGAACATGAGGGCTGCAGGAGAATAGGAAGAATGGTTTAGAGCTACACAACCACCTCTAGTTTCTCAAGGGAGACATGATTTGCTGTTAAATAATACAACATATATCTTTAGAAAACTGAGTTTACTATCAAGTACCTTGCGCCTCTCAAGACGATTGTACATGCCTGGCCCATCTCAACCCCAGAAAAATGGATAAGCTTGTCCTCACCAATCATGATCTCCTCGATAAGTTTACAATGCCCTAGCTTAACAGACTCTGGATTGTCAAAGGTTGATGCAATCTCACCACCAGTGACTAAACCAAGACGCTCAATACCATCAAAATCAGCATGCTCTATAGCTAGAATCCCAGCATCAGCAAAAAGTTCCTCTGGGAAATTATAGATCAGCTGTCTGTTAACAAAACAGTTGATTCCATGGCCAATAATCTTTTCCACCTTCTCCCTCATTTTGTTCTTTTCAGCTGTTTCTAGCTCAGCAACTTTAGCCATTGAGTCAACACGAACACGTGCACCATAAATCTTTACCTTATCAGTATCCATTGCAGTATTAGCCACCAAGATCTTTGCATTTTCAATTCGTTTAGGTTGGCCAACGCCAATTTTTTTGTCCAGAATAAACCTACAAATAATACCAAGTGTTAAAAACAACTAATATGTTAATAAGCATTTCAACATGTAGCAAAAAAGGTGGATTGAAGACTATCAAGTATACTTGACAAAATTAAGAAAATACGGACTTTAAATGCCTTTGAACTTTATGCAAGTCAGCTAAAGATACGAATGGCCCGGAGAATTCCCATTTAAAGTAAACAAACACTAACAAAGGGACTTTAAAATAGTTTATCATGACCAAAAGAAACCTCGACCGTAAAGGTGTAAATAGGGCACTTGCAAATTGCAATTAGTTAGCAAATGAGGATTATCTATCCAGATGGCAAGCCTATCAACTAAATTGCATGTACACAATAGGACCAGTCATTCATGAAGGACTCAGGGCATCATAACAGTTAGAATAACAAAATTACAAAACTACCAAGCCTAGGTTGCTTACCCCTCATCTAGGAATGAGTCTTTAAGTGAACCTCCAGGCTTCTTAATAATCTGGATTGACTCAAGATTGGTGCTTCCCTGTCATATCAAACAAATGCAACACTTTCAACTACTACTATTACACCAAGTTCACAACAGATAATCAAATGTTACCCAAAAAAGAAGTGATCGAATACCCATAGAAAATTATTAAGTGAGAAAGGAAAAGAGTGATATATACACCTCCAAGAGTATGATAAACAAGATTAAATAATGGCAACAACAACAACAACAACAAAAAACTACAACAAACAAAACAAAACAAAACAAAACAAAAGGCCTAATATTGATAGATTAGTCCACACTCCACATTCAAATAGATTTCTGTCCTAACAAAGTTAAAATTTTACACCAACAGGTTCACAAAATCTGCTATAATTTATTTTATTTTTGGTGGGTAGGGGAGGGGGTTTAAGGTTGAAAAACAAAGATCTAGCAACTTAACAAGAAAATGCCAAAATATATGAAGATTAATATACCTTCAACCTCATAACAGCATCAACAGCCAGCTTGGCAAAATGCTCCTTGTCTTGAGACAAAATCTTGGAACTTAAAGTAGTCATTGCAATCTTCATCAAGTCTACTCTGAATTTCTCTGCATTTGAACACAGCACCACAAAAAAGAGCAGTCACAAAAAAATAAACAGAAACTAAAAAGAATAACCAACAAAACGGGAGATTGTAGACCCATCATCATAGCATGAATATTCACTCTATTCAGTCTTAGGATTCACATTTTATTGAATTCAAATGACCGGGAAAAAGAAGTTGAAGATAAAACAGATCAAAGAAGCTTCTTTATTTTAATTGATAACATGACCCAAGAATATATACCTGCATCTTGTTTGTTATCAACAACCTTTTCTAACAATGCATCGCGTGCACATTCAGCTGCCATGCGGAAACCTAAGATATACAATGAAAACAGACAAACATAATTGATGAGGCTACACCATTAACATGCTGCAAAAATGAAAAATTACAAAACATAAAGGATAACTGTAAATAGTAAATGCCAAGTGATATGTACGTGTGACAAGTCCTGAACATATAAATCATTTAGTATGAAACAAACCTGAAATAATTGTCATTGGATGAATCTTTGAATTTACCAGCTTTTCTGCCTCCCTTAAAAGTTCACCAGCCAAAACAACTACTGAAGTTGTACCATCACCAACTTCATCGTCTTGGACTTTAGAGATGTCTGACAAAGTTGTTAAGATCCACCAAAGTTGATAAACTATATTCTCCTATTATTTCCTCAGCATAATAGACTGTGAATTATTCTCAAAAACAAACAAACAAAAAAAAAAAGACTGAATTCTAACACCTTACTAGAATACTGGATCTCCTCTCTAAAGAGGACTAAGTTGTGAACTATGTTTATTACGTAAATGGAAAATTAGTTATCAATCATCATTAAAAAAAAAAAATGAGATATAGAACAAAGAGGGGACCAAATACCCAAGCATTGTATCATCGTCACCTAACCCAAAGTACCAAAAAAAAAAAGAAAAAAACTACGGAGTAACAAAATTCCAGTATTAAGGATACCAACAAGAACTTTGGCAGCAGGGTTGTCTATATGAAGGGATTTAAGGATGGTTGCACCATCATTTGTAACTGTAACACTGTGACCCCTGCCTGTTGACTGCAAAATCTTGTCCTGTTAAGGAAAACAAAAATTGTAACACTTCAACCCATACTTCAAAATTTCTGGAAAATTATAAAGCTGCTGCAAACAGTTTGGAAGTGTATCTTACCATTCCCTTTGGACCTAGGGTTGTTTTCACCAAATCAGCAATTGCCATTGCCCCCACAAAGGATGCCTAACCACAACAGCACAACAAATTAAACTATGAATAAAAGTAAATAATTGTTGCAAGTGGCAAGAAAACAAAAGCATATTATGCCATGTTATTTTCCCTCAAGAGTACCTCAAAAGTAAATAACACCGAAGCATTTACTACTTCCTAGAGAAAAGGCTTACCATTCTTGCTCTCTCGCCCTTTTCTTCAGTAGCTTCATCTTTCAGAAGTTTGTGAGCCTTCAGAAATAAGAAATTTCAGGAAAAAAAAAAAACCAACAACAACAACATACTAATCTGACAAACTAGATGGTAACATTATATGAAGTACAATGATCATACCGCCATCAGAAACCCTATTACAGGTGGAAACACGCGCCAAAAAGTACGAAATGGAAAATCAAGCTCAAGTTGTAATAACTGCGATCTGAAAATGAAAATAACATAAAATATCTATCACTTTTCATCAAACAGAGATCAGGATTTTAAAGTTTTACAGTTTACACTATATTCTACCAAATGAAATGTGCTCCTAAACAGAACTGCATAAACATGAGGTTATTACATTACAGTAAAACTACTACTGAACCATTTAATTTGGTTTCAGAAGACTTGCTGAAGAGTTAAAAGCTAGAAATAAAAAGTGAGCTCGTAGAAAGACAGTTGGGGAAGATCACCTGAACGGCGGCGCCGGCGGATGAGCTAAATCTCGTCGACGACGAAGAAGCGTCAGTACTAACTAGGTAGCGACTATAGCGAAATGGAAGAATCTCGAGAGGCGGGGTTTTGAGGGTACGATTGGTGTGGTTGTAATTTCCTGGACTTTACGAGGGTAAAGTTGCCATCTAAAATATTGTCAGATTTTAAACCCCGTGGGCCAAAATGACTATATCATTCTGGACTTTTCATTCGGCCCGGGCCCAATAACGTCAAAAACGAAAAGGGAAACAAAAATCCACATTTGTGTTAGAAATTTGCCTTTCCATTGATTAGTAATTTGGTAAATACTGGTTAGTGAATTTGACTAGTTAATTGTAGAAAAATGTTTAGTAAATTAGTTGTTAACTGATAGATGATTACATACAAAATAATTTTTTAAAAAAATTAATCGAAAAAGACTATTTTTAGCAGCTTTTGAATTTTAACATTTTTGAGCAATAGTTGTTACTAAAAACTAATTAATCAAACATTCATGTTATTGTTTAACCAAGTCAAACAACTAATAGTACTGGAATAAGTCAAAATTAACTAATAAACTAACTATATTATCAAATAAGATCATTGTCTATTAGCAAACTCAATACCAACCTATAGCCACGCATTCTCCCATATTAACATGAGAGTGTGAGAAATTTGACAAGTGTTGTACATGTTATTACTTATAGGGTGGTTGGTAAATAGTTGTTAGCTAATTAGATTAGTGGGTTTGAGTAATTGATAGTATTAGCTGATTGTAGAAAGATATTTGATAATTAGTGATAGTTATTTTAAGTAGTTTTTTGCATATTAGCATTTTAGAGCAATAAGCTATTACAAAAAGTTAATTAATCAAACACTTATATTGAATGTTTAATCAAGTCAAACAACAAATAGTGGTCAAATAAATCAAATTTACATGATAAGGTTAACTATGTTACCAAACGTGGTCATAGTTTTTCTTATATATTGACAATTAGGAACGAATAATGTACAATTAAAAATAATAATGATTCTAACACTGGAATGGCAAGCGCAAGTGGCGTTATTGGGGACCATCAAGGCAACTGGATTGTAGGCTTTGTTACAAATATTGGCAATACGAACAGCTTCATAGCTGAATTATGGGGGCTTAGGGAAGGCATCAAGATTGCCAAGAATAGAGGTTTCACGAATCTTTTAGCAGAATCGGACTCTGTTTAATCCAAGCGCTTAAAAATAACTCGGATTTAAGACCGGAAGCCAGTACTATAATTATGGACTGTAAGAATATGATGAGAAACTTCCATGATTTCGACCTTATACATGTCCTCCGAGAAAGGAATCAATGTGCCGACTTTTTGGCCAACCCGGGTCAACATTCTTCTTGGGGACCCTCAGTTCTGATTCATCCACCGGATGGGATTCAAGGATTTCTGACTCGTGATGCCAACTCCGTCTCAACAAGAAGAATCTCCTAACCTTTTCTGGAGCTTTTATAGCTCCTCTTTCTGTACCAAAATAATAATAATAATAATAATAATAATGATTCTTTATTATATACTATCAAAAGTAAGTTGTTTTCTAACTCAAACATTGTTTACTATATATTAACTAGGTGGTTAAAATTTTCACCACTTTCAAATTAAATAATAAACTCAGTTGGCAATTTAAAAAGAAAAGATGAAAATTTAAATAATTTATTTTTAAAATGATGGGTAATAACTAGTTTTCCAGTAGTGTATGGGAAACACATTAATTAATGAGCTTTTAACATATATAATTAATATTAATAATTAATAATTAATATAACTTAATAAATTTTAATTAATTCTAGTTGTATTGGGTTTATGATTCTTATGCTTAATTCAAAGCGGGAAAGGAATCCTAAAATTAAATGGAACAGCATTACCTATAAACTATAAATAAATTCCGATGTTAATTGATCTCTCATATCTCCATCTACTGCAAGGTTTCTTTTTTTTTTTTTTTGCTAAAAATCTACTGCAAGGTTTCTGATCTATCTTCTAATGGCGGATATAGTTGCTTCCTTTCTTGAGGTCGCCGGCGAAGGCATCTCTCCCGACACGGAAAGGCAGTTCCTTGATGCCACAGGCGGGATGCTTGACGAAGCACTTTCACTCTTTTTCACAAGCGGTGGAGTATTGGAACAGCCGCCGGCCCTATCACCGTCAGATATTGGCGGCGGTAGTGCGCGGCCACCGTCGAACTCTCGAAGGGAAACGTTTCTCGACGGAGACGAACCCGCACCGATGGTGGAAGATTTATGGCGGGGATCTTCTTCCTCCAACAATGGCGGGAATAGAGCAACGGATCTCGCGGCTTTGTATCGTCCGCCTTACGAGTTGATGTACTATGGATCCTTCGAGGGCTCGAAGGGTGAAGCTAGGGATCTGGACAGATGGCTTATTATTAACGTGCAATCCGCCGGAGAATTCGCCTCCCACGTTCTCAACCGCGATATTTGGGGCGACGAATCCGTCGCGCAGATAATCCGGAGCACCTTCGTTTTCTGGCAGTTCGACCACGACATGGAGGAAGGCCGGAAGGTCTGCACCTACTACAACCTCACTTCCCTGCCGGCGGTTCTGGTGATTGACCATATCACCGGTCGGAATATGAAATCCTGGACCGGAACGGTTCAACCTGATACTTTCCTGCTGGAAGGTCTTCAACCGTTTTTGGATCAAACGCCGTCCGATTATCTCGCAAGTTACTGCAACAAACGCCGCCGAGACCAGATCGAAGCCAAAGAAGAAGTAGAAGAAGTAGAAGAAGAAGAAACAGCCATGGTAAATGAGACGGAGATGGAGACGAAGAAAGAGGATGACGTCATGCATTATCCCGATCTTCCTGAAGAGCCGCCATTGATGAGTGACGCAAATCTGGTTTGTAGAGTTGGAATTCGGCTACCTGACGGGAGAAGGCTGCAAAGGAGGTTTTTGCGTAGTGATCCAGTTCAGTTGTTGTGGTCTTTCTGCCATCTCCACGTCGGAACAAAGCCATTCCGGTTGATGCAGGCGGGTGTCCCCGGAGCGCCGAGGGTTGTTTTGGACTATAAAACTCAAATGAGCTTTGAGGAATCAGGCATAAGTAACTCCATGATTATAGTAACTTGGGATTGAAGATATATATGTTGATCGAATATCTTATAATTTTTTATTTTTAATTTTTGAAACAGAATATCTTATACTTCGATCTTATACTTCGATCTTATACTTCTTATACTTCTATTAATGTTACGGACTAGAATAGTTTATTTTTAGTATTATAAAATCTTTGCATAATTTGAGTTTTCATGATTATTAATACAACTATTACAGGGTGTTTGGTTGGAGAGGGAGAATTATGTGGGAAAGGAATTGTAATTCCATGGGAGTTGAATTACTGGGAATGAAGTGGGAATTTAAATTCCAGTGTTTGGTTGATAGGAATAGAATTACTGGGAATTTCAATTCCAATGTTTGGTATACATGGGAATTGAAAGGGAATAAGTAGTATAAAGTCAAAAATGTCCATTATTGTTGTTAGACATTAATTTTAGGTTAAAAAAGGAAGGGGTAATTTTGACTCATCACTATCTTTTTTTTCCCAGGAATTAAAATACCAAGGGGGGACCTGGGATTTTAATTCCATGAAAATTGGGGAATTGCAATTCCCTCCAACCAAACTACGAAATTTAATGGCCTTTGGAATTAAGTGGGAATTAAGTGGGAAGGGAATTTAAAATCCCTCCAACCAAACGCCCTGTTAATTGAATTATGTGTGGCTTTTGATGGGTTTCAAGCAATACGTGGATCATATATAGTCTCTTTTTTATCCACAACATATGATTGACCTATCAAATTCAAACATATTTATATATTATATACTCAATACGGTTAATAAATTGCTTTTGAATCAAATTAAATATTTATTTGTAAAATAGGCCGGATATTCATGCTTCAACATGCATGAATGATATAACATGACCCATCACACATTATTGTTAAATTTTTTTTTGAAACCTGTTTTTGTTGTTTTTTTTTCAACATTAAACTAATGTTTTGCATGTGGAATTCCAATGTTTAAATAAACGAACATGAAACAATTTATTACATGATGTGGAGTGTATGGTATAAAGTTTTTGGAATGAGTAGTTCATTAAATCTAAGGATATATTCTTCTTTACGGATACTTAGCTTGTTTTTCAATAGTTAGTTTTATAATACTCCATAGTACAAAGTTTGTTTATAAAGTCTCACGTAATACAACATGCAATATTTTTAGGTGAAAATGAAAATTTGTAACCCATTACTCACTATAAAAGCCTCACTTAGCACAACAATATTAATGGGTTACAAGATTCGTAATGCATTACTTAGTGGACCCAGATCTTATACGTGATTTTGAATTTTTATTTTGACAGCAACCATTTGTTGTTCAATCACATTACACTATATTTTTTTTTTTACTATAAAGTATGTGTATGTGTCTTTTGTTATGCGTTTATGTATCTCATATTATGCAATTCTGTACCTTAAGTTTATGGATTATGTACCTAAAATAAAGTAAATATAACATGTGTTTTTGTGTTTTGTGTTATGCGTTGCTGTGTTTCATGTTATGCAATTCTGTACCTTAAATGCACGAATTATGTACATGAAATATATTAGAAGTTGTGTAACACACAATATATTGTGTGTCTTATTTTACAAATTTATGTATTGTATTGTGAAATTATGTGCATATATGACATAAATCAGATTTGAGAATAAGTAAATATATAACATGTGTATGTGTTTTATGTTATGAGTTTGTGTGTCTCGTGTTATAAAATTATGTATCTTAAGAGTATTGATTATGTACATATAATAAATTAAAATTTGTATTGAAACATGAGAAACGAGAAATTACAAAATATGTTAAAGCATAAATACCAAAACGACGTCGTTTTGATCCAGGGTCCACAATGCTACGTGCGATTTACTTTTTATATGTAACTAGTATTTTCACCCGTGTGATGCATGAAATATATTTGTTATGATATTTGAAAAATATTTGGATCGATATACAATTATATAAATTATAACATCGAATATTATATAATGCTATTGAAGAATGGAAGAATTGAATTAGATCGATTGTATTCTATGATGTTATCATTGCTTGAATTCAAAAAAATAATTGCTCAATTAATAGCCAATGTGTAGATGTACGCATCTGATGCTGAAACTTTAGAGATTTTATATCTTAGTTATAGAAATCATTTGCTATTTTAATTTATTTATATAAAATATATATTTTCTATGTAGATATATTAACAAATTCATTATGTGTAGATTTATTAACAAATTCATTATATCTGAGTATATTCAGTATGAGTATGTGTGTAAATTATAGTATGAATCTCAACTATAGCATTAGTATAATACTAATAAATAAATAAATAATATAAATTTTATATTCTATGAGTAAAAAAAATGTGATTATATTATGTGGAGAACAAATTCATTATGTGATAAATTTTGGTGATGATGTATATTAAAGTATGATTGTTCAACATACAACATACAACATAAATATTAATATTGATTGATATTAATCTAATATCACTAAAAAATACAGTGATGTATGTTTTAAAAAATGCAAAAATAATGCAATATCTATCATGGAGTCATGAAATAAACACTCTAGTGTTTGGTGGTTGACAACTGTGCGTTGATATTCCCTGGACAAATAACAACACATTGATCGAGACCTAATAGAACTTTTCCTTGTCCTACGAGATAGATGAGAGGCAGTGGCAAAATTTGACTACTTGTCTCCATTATTAAACAATACAGAGAAAGTTGAGAAATAGCAGAGATGAATTAAAAGTATAGTAGAGAATTAGTGAGTTCGTGATCATTTTATATTCAGTGAGTTATATCCTAAAATCATGTATGTTAAATTCTGTGTCAATTATTAATTCATTTTCGTTTTCAATTTGTCTAATTTTCGTGCCATTTTTATTCTCAGCCAAATATTTTTAATACATATCAATTAGTTTATACAATAATAATTAATATAATTGCCAGTACTAAAAAATTAATATAATTGCCAATATATATTCATAATTTATACATTCCGTGTCATTTTAATCTCAGTCAATTATTTTTTAATAACAGGTTCCACTTTCAATTTACCTATACTATTGTTTAGACAATCTGACAATTTCCTTTTTTCATTTGAGTCAATTTGTAATTTTTTTTAATCAAATATTAATTATCATTTTCTTTTTCAATTGGTCTAATTTTTTTGTCATATATGTTGTCAGTCAATTTTTTTTAATACATATGAATTAATTAATTATTAATAACAAACTCTTTTTATAATATTTTTTGTCAAATATTAATAACATATTCATTTTTCTAATTAACATATACTATTGTTTGGACGGTATGACCATTTCTTTTTTCATTTTAGTCAATTTGGTATCATTTTTAATTTTTAATCAAGTACTAATATTCATTTCGTTTTTCAATTGGTATAATTTCTATGTCATTTTTTTTAATTCTCAGACTCTCAGTCAATTATTATTTTTAATACATATTAATTAGTTAGTTATTAATAACGATTTTTTTTTTTGGATATTTCCAGTCAATTATTAATTTTAAATACATATCAATTAGTCGATTAGTTAATTATTAATAGCAGATTCATTTTTAAATATTTTCAGTAAATTATTAACAACAAATTACTTTACAAATTTACCTATACTATTGTTTGGGCGGTGTGATCATTTCATTTTTTTTTTTGCCTTTAAGTGAATTTGGAATCATTTTTAATTTTCAGTCAATTATTAATAGTCATTTCATATTTCAATTGGTCTAAATTTCGGGCCGTTTTTATTCTCAGTTAATAATTTTTTTTTTGTAATATTTTTTAAACTATAATTTCACTTACGAACATTGTGTGAATAAACGAATAAAACAGATGCATATTCAAAGTAATGCAAAACCATGAAATCTTATAATCTTTAATTACACAATCTTCCTACTAAATTATGGATACTATCGTTTCTATTCCACTTTCTCTTTAATTGGCACGTTTGGTTCGCGGAATGAATTTTGAAGGAATAGGAATATTATTCCATATGGAATGAAATAGGTAAGGAATAAAATATAAATTGTATTATATTGTTTGATTCGGTGAATGAATAGACTTTAGGAATGTTATTCTAGTGTTTGGTTGGTTTACGGAATAGAAATGGAATATATGTGTAAAAGACATAACTACCCTTATACAAAATATTATTATTATTATTATTATTATTATTATTATTATTGAAGTGCGGACCTGATCCAATTGCAACTATAGTTGAAAGCATCTTCTCAACCGCGAAGTATAGAATGCTAGAAGAGTCGCACCTAGAAGGACGAGCGATCTTCTCACCGACTTTAGATGTTGATCAAATTAATCAGTATATGTGTGACATGAACACTGCAGAAGGTCGGACGTATTTAAGCTGTGACTCTTTGTGTAAGGCAGAATCAGATTGTGATAATCTCTCACAAGTACATACTCCTGAAATTTTAAATAGCTTGAGATTGTCTGAACTTCCTAATCATTCATTGACAATAAAGGTTGGTGCACATGTTATGTTACTGCAGAACATAGACCACTCTCTTGGTCTTTGCAATGATACGTGCCCCATCGTTACAAGATTGGCGGATCATATTGTCAAAGCAAGAATAATTAATGCAACATGGCATGGAAACAAAGTTCTTATACCACGAATGTCTCTCACCCCTTCTGATACGAGATTGCCATTCAAGCTACAGCGTAAACAATTATCTTTGATGCTAGCATATGCAATGACTATCAACAAAAGCCAGGGTCAAACACTAACTCACGTTCGCTTTTTATTGAAAAAACCAGTCTTTAATCACGGTGAATTGTACGTGGTGCTTTCCCAAATCACTCACATCCTAATGGCCTTAAGGTTTTAATTAGCTCTAAACGAGGATAGACAAACTTCTGTTACTACTACTAATGTCGTCTACATATAAGTTTTCAACAATGTGTAATTCAAAACAGTTATATTATGTATTCTTCTTGCACCAATATAACAAAATTGTTACATATCTACATCTTACGTATATATTCCGTTATCCACATCTTACGTATATATTCCGTTACAAAAAAAATTCTATAGCTAAATTACTATACATAAAGATAATGAGACCAATTAATTCAATTCAAAAATATTCATACAAACTTTAATTCAACAATAAAATTTACACTATCAAATATAAAACAAATTTATAATTCATATATTATAATAAATACATTCCGTGCATCCCACGGGTGCAAATACTAGTATTATAACTTAATAAATTTTAATTACTCCTAGTTGTATTGGGTTTATGATTCTTATGCTTAATTCAAAACGGGAAAGGATCGATCGGAATCCTAAAATTAGATGGAACAGCATTATATTACCTATAAATAAACTATAAATAAATTCCCATGTTAATTGATCTCTCATATCTTCATCTGATCTACTGCAAGGTTTCTGATCAATCTTCTAATGGCGGATATAGTTGCTTCCTTTCTTGAGGTCGCCGGCGTCGGCATCTCTCCCGACACGGCAAGGCAATTCCTTGATGCCACAGGCGGGATGCTTGACGAAGCACTTTCACTCTTTTTCACAAGCGGTGGAGTATTGGAACAGCCGCCGCCCCTATCACCGTCAGATATTGGCGGCGGTAGTGCGCGGCCACCGTCGAACTCTCGAAGGGAAACGTTTCTCGACGGAGACGCACCCTCGGCGATGGTGGAAGATTTATGGCGGGGATCTTCTTCCTCCAACAATGGCGGGAATAGAGCAACGGATCTCGCGGCTTTGTATCGGCCGCCTTACGAGTTGATGTACTACGGATCCTTCGAGGGCTCGAAGGGGGAAGCTAGGTATCTGGACAGATGGCTTATTGTTAACGTGCAATCCGCCGGAGAATTCGCCTCCCACGTTCTCAACCGCGATATTTGGGGCGACGAATCCGTCGCGCAGATAATCAGGAGCACCTTCGTTTTCTGGCAGTACGACCACGGCACGGAGGAAGGCCGGAAGGTCTGCACCTACTACAACCTCACTTCCCTGCCGGCGGTTCTGGTGATTGACCCTATCACCGGTCGGAATATGAAATCCTGGACCGGAACGGTTCAACCTGATACTTTCCTGCTGGAAGGTCTTCAACCGTTTTTGGATCAAACGCCGTCCGATTATCTCGCAAGCTACTGCAACAAACGCCGCCGAGTCCAGATCGAAGCTAAAGAAGAAAAACAAGATTATCTCGCAAGCTACTGCAATAAACGCCGCCGAGTCCAGATCGAAGCTAAAGAAGAAAAACAAGGAGAAGGAGAAGCTAAAGAAGAGAAGGAAGGAGAAGGAGAAGTAGCAGGCATGGTAAATGAGATGACTGAGACGAAGAAAGAGGATGACGTCATGCATTATTATCCCGATCTCCCTGAAGAGCCGCCATTGATGAGTGACGCAAATCTGGTTTGTAGAGTTGGAATTCGGCTACCTGACGGGCGAAGGCCTCAAAGGAGGTTTTTGCGCAGTGATCCGGTTCAGTTGTTGTGGTCTTTCTGCCATCTCCACGTCGGAACAAAGCCATTCCGGTTGATGCAGGCGGGTGTCCCCGGAGCGCCAAGGGTTGTTCTGGACTATAAAACTCAAATGAGCTTTGAGGAATCAGGCATCAGTAGCTCCATGATTATAGTAACTTAATTGGGATTAATTGAAGATATATATGTTGAATATCTAATAATAATATATATATATATATATATATATATATATATTTTTTATGGAAACAGAATATCTTATAGTTCTATTAATGTTATACAGACTATAATAGTTTATTTTTTGTTTTATAAAATCTTTGCATAAGTTGAGTTTTCATGATCATTAATTAACTCCTAATATTTTGCTTTTGAATCAATTCAAATTAAACATTTATTTGTAAAATAGGCCGGATTTTCATGCTTCAACATGAATGATATAACATGACACGGCGTTTTTATTTTTATTATTTTTTGTTCAACATATAAACTAAGGGTGTGTATTCAATTCTGCCTTTCATAAGTTTTTAAAGACTTTGATGAACTTTAAAAGTTTGGAAATATTCAATTCAAATTTTGAAGGAGTCTTTAAAAGTCATATTATATTCAATCAATATTTTTAAAGAGTTTTAAAAGTGAGTGATATTCGATTAAGACTTTTAAGTCTTTAACAGTGTTTTCAAAAGTTATGAACTTTTATACTTTTTAATTTTAGGACTTTTTGTAAAAAAAAATAAAATAAAAAAATTCTCAAATTAAATAGTTGAAATCGAACCATCAACCCCACAATTTTAAACTTTTATTTCTACCAACTATGAATGTTTTTTGTCTCCATATTTAAACTTTATAAACCTTATACCTAAATTTAATAAATTATTATTTTTCATTGTCTTATATTTTCTTTCAAATTACGTACATTGTTTGGTAGAGGTGAATAAAAATATTAGGAATGAGAAGAAAATAAGTGGTATAAAGACTAAAATGTTATTGTGTAATATATTTATCTTCTTTATATTATACATAATAAAGCGGAATCTAACCACAAAATTTTTCCTCAAAAGTGTGAATGCATTTTGATATAAACAAGATTAGCAAGTATGAATGCATTAATTGTGAGGGTAGATGTATTTATACATATTTTTTTGAAGTTATTATGTGTATTTATATTTTATAAATTATATTTTAGAGTTAATACCTCCAATGGTCCTCCGAGTATTAACGATTTACCAGTTGTGGTCATCCGAGTTTTAAATGACCTCCAATGGTCCTTCATGTTTAAAAAAATAACCACTCGTGGTCCTAATTCTAAAAAAAAAAAAAAAAAAAAAAAAAAAAAAAAAAAAAAAAAAAAAAAACTCGAGTTTAAAATCACCACGAGACGTCCTTAAAGGACCATGATGAGTGGTTATTTTTTAAAACCTGGAGGACCATTGAAGGTCATTTAAATCTTGGATGACCACAACTAGTCAATTGCTAATATTCGGAGGACCATTGGAGGTAATGAGGTATTAACTCTATTTTTTATTATTATAGCTCTATATCTCTCTATATTAAAGCATAATGAAGTATGGAAAAACATTTATTGTGTTCAAATTTATAGGTAAAGTTTTATATTTAATATAATTTGTGTATATATTAATTTAAACCCCAATTATAATTAATTTGACTCTACATATATAAAGAGGAGAAATTAGATATAAAATAAATATAGTTCTTACATAAATAATATTTTTCAAATGAATAAATTTTTTTGTGGAGATTTTCGACAAATATCGCTTGTTATTTTATTTACAAGTTTTATTTAAATTTATTGATAAAGTTTTATATTTAATATAAATTGTGTATATATTTCTTCAGTTATAATCAATTTGACTCCACATATATAAAGAGGATAAATTAGATATAAAATAAATATTTTTTTTTTTGGAAAGTTACTGGCTCTATTACATTGTAGTATCTGTTCATATACTTTCTCAACCTACTGAAACACAAAGAACCAATAACGCCTCCACTAAGGCTTGAACTCATAATCTTCCAAATGGAAGTCCAACTCGGATACCATTAGACCACATAGTCCTGGTAGATATAAAATAAATATAGTTCTTACATAAATAATCTTTTTCAAATGTAAATTTTTTGTGGAGATTTTTGACAAACATCGCATGTTATTTTATGTACAAATTTTATTTAGATACGTTAGTTATATAATTAAAGTAGTTATTTCAAATTCAAAAATTCTTTCAAAAAAATTCAAATTCAAATTACGGAGTATAATACAAGTAACAATAAATTTTAAAATCAACATTTTTAAATTAATAATAGTTTGTGCATCGCACGCGACAATTATTACTAGTATATATATAATATATAATAATAATAATAACAATAACCAATGATACTTTTGTCATTTCTTATATATTTTTCATTTCCCACTACCATTGAATTACAATTCATCAAAAGAGTAAATTGTAATACGATCCAACAAAATAATGTAATTGAGATTTTAATTCAATTACAATTTAATTATATCCAACCAAACGCCCCAGTGAATACGAGTTTCTGTTGTGAATAAAAACATTATCATTTATTTATCATAAATATACATTGTTGATTTGTTGCCTAATAATTTGTCTCCTGTATTAAAAAAGGGAAATTATTCTCGGATTGGACACCCGAGCCTCAACGCTAATATGCGCTGAGCTGTCGCTTCACCTTTTCCGTTATATCAGCGACACGAGTATCTCTTTACAGGATTTAGGCCCCATTCCCAATTGTGATCGAGGTCAATTCTTACTGGATTATACTTTAATTCTGGAATGGCGAGATTGAGAGAATGGAGAGCGGGAATGGCTCTGCTGATGATCGTCGGGAGGCTAACCTGCGCTCACACTCTCACTGCGCCGTTCCCCGCCCTCTGCTGCTCAAAGTATTCGGCTAAGGACTGGATTTTCGCCCTCCCGGATTCTACATGTTCGATAGATGAAATCAAATCTTCATGCTCCACCGCTGTAATCGAGGTGCACAAATTTATGCAAGTAAAATTTGTATTTTTTACTGTTTTTTTTTTTTTTTTTAAATAAAAAGTATAATTTATTATAGCAATTTGATCATGCATTTCATTATTTACAGTAATTTTCTGATTTGTTACTCCTTTTAGTTTTTTTACTTGTTTGGAAATTAGTTGAAAAGGTTTTGATCTTTGGCTTTGCTGTAAATGATGCGTTTATTGTTATGAAAAAATGAATAAATGATGGGTTTGCTTATATGTATGGTGAAGGGAGATGAGAAATCATTGCAGAGGGCACTGGATGTGGTTCATAGGAGATCGCATGATTATGTTGCTTTGCTCTTCTACGCTTCTTGGTGCCCTTTCTCCAGGAAGTTTAAACCAATATTTTCTGTTGTATCTTCGTTGCTTCCCTGGGTTCCTCATTTTGCAATTGAAGAATCAGCCATTAAACCGAGGTCTGAGCAGCAGTAATTATTTATAGCTATAATCACTCTGCATTTATGTGTTGATAATCAGGAATTTGACTACTTTCAGTACCCTCTCAAAATATGGAGTCATTGGGTTCCCTACTTTGTTCCTTATGAATTCTACAATGCGCTTTCGTTATCATGGCTCCCGGAGTCTTGATTCTCTGGTTGATTTCTATGGTGATCTTACAGGTAAGAGTTTTTTTTTTTTTGAAATCCAAGACCTTTCTCCATTGCTCGTAATAAATTGAAGGATGTGTAAAAGTTTATTTTGAAAGAGAGATTGTACATTTACATTTTTACACTCTACGCTCAACAAAGCTGCTGTAAAAGTTTAATTTGACAGTCAGATTATACATTTATATATGGATTATATGATATATGATCAGCAAAGCTGCTGTGGTACAGATGTAATGTAATTCATTGACTATGGAGGATAACCTTCTTAGTTCTTAAACCAGCTTCATATTCTGTTGTTTTCATTTTGTTGACCTCTGATCTTGTCCAGTTATTGCATGATAGCCAGAATGTTGAGTGTTCTTACTATGTTTGTATTTCTTTCTGGAGAAATAGGTGCCGAGACATCATCAAAGGATAACATATCTCTGGACAAGATCAGATGTTCCTCAAATAAACACAGGGATGGTGGTAGTGAGCAGGAAAGCTGCCCGTTCTCCTGGTCAAGATCACCTCAGAACTTTCTTCGGCAGGAGACATATTTGGCCTTGGCAACTGCATTCGTTCTTATGAGGTTGCTTTACGTCATTTTCCCAGCTGTGTGCAGGTTTTCTCGAGCCTCCAGGAGATGCATTTTAAATCTGAGGACAAGAAGCTCGTGGGAATATCCTCAGCTTTGCCCAAGCCGAGCAGTACAGTTCTTTAATTCTTTGAAGGAACCATGTAAGAGAAGTAATCTGCAGGAAGGAGCTATGAATGCCAAGGCATGGGCATCCAAGTCTTTGGCTTCTGTTTCAATAGGAGATGCAAGCTCAAGTCGGGCAGTAGCAGTAAGTTCTACTCACTGATTAATTTGATGGCTAAATCTAAACAACATATTTTCTTTATAAATGTTCAGCCTACCCTTCAATTGGATTGTGTGTTGTATACTTGTATATCACTTCTTTTATACACCATTAAAAGAATAATGCCACCATTATTGTGTTCAAATGTATGTATGTATCATTTAGCTAACTTTTGATTTTAGATTTATGTTCACTCTGTATACCTCTCTCTCTCTCTCTCCAGCCCCATTCTTCACTCCTCCAAAAACAATATCCATGTAGAGTAACAACTAACATGAAATGTGTATATATGTATTCAAAGAAATATAATTATGTTGGCTTGGATATCTCTGACTCTGAGGCTGCAGAGTTAACCATTTGATTAGTGCTTCAAAAGATTGGGTGCTTTCCTGTCTTTTTCTGGCATAACCCAAACCATTCACTTGCTTTGAAGGTTTTAATGTGCTTTTAACATAGTGCAACAGGCAAGAATGACAGAAATGAAACTTTGGTAAGGGCCTGCAATGTTTTTGCTTTAAAGTTGAGCAAAAATTGAATTGTATGCCAAAATTGGCTTGAGTATTCAAAATTACTGCAGAAATGCAGATTGCTGGATGATTTGATTTGGTAAATTACCTTAACAAAATAGTGAACTATACTAAGAAGACTCTATGGATTGAGTTTACGTTCTCGACAAAAATCTTTGATAATATATCTAAGATTTGATCCTGTAACTTTTTCTAAGGAGAATCACAGATATGCTTAATTCAGCACAAGATGCTTAGCACATTTTTATGGTCTATTTGAACTATGTTTGATGTATTGTGTACTGTGCTGTGTACACGTGGTTGGACACCAAGCTTGGAAGAGTGGATAGGCTGTGTTTGGTTGAAAATATCGAATATCAAAATATTCCCACTTTTTTCTAGAGCTTTTCATATTAAATTGCATCTAATTTTGTTAGACTGAACTGTCATAATTTCATTAAATGCATGTCTCTAAGCTAAAATATCCCGAAAATTTGTAATCAAGAACCCTTTTTTCGATTTCTAAAAAGAAAAAGAAAAAGAAAAACTTCTTTTAGACATATAATATCTGATATCTTCACTAATGTGAAATTAAACTGAATTCTACTTGAATTTTATTTATAAAATTTAAAACTTTTACTTAAACGAAAGCTTTCATTTCTTTACAATTACACTTTTAAAATACTTCTAGTTTATTCCCACGCCCCTTGGTTCTTTATTTTTATTTTTGCAATAATTATTCCATACCGAAAATGTTAATTGTATACAAGTGAGGGTAAACGATTTGGTTAAGCGTTCCATAATCGGGAAGTACTGTAATAATTCATTGTTAATCACGTTATTTAAAGCAACAATTAGTATATCACTCAATTCAGTCAATTCATTCAATTGTAATATTATTATTGTTGAGCATATATATAATACATAAACATAAATGTGCAGTCTAACTATCGGTGACAGAACATATTATCTAATTTTGTATCAGGATTGATCCCATACACAAGGTTAAATACTTAAATCTCTACATCCCTTGAGAGATATGGTCTACGTGTTGCTTAGAGCCCGTCAAATCTTAAATTTGAAGACCCTAATTGGCTAAAAAACTCAGAAATGCAAGCAAGTTGAATGTTGCCACAACAAATTGTGTGCCATGTCCACAGAGCTGTATGAATGTACACTGAAAACAACTAAAAACAGACATGGCAAGCACACATAGTTCATCAAAAGTTAACTTCCAGTTTGGTTGAAACACATGTACAACAGTCAAAACATTGTTCCTATATCTATAAACCCCATGATTGTATGATAAAGAAGATCACATAATAACATATGCAATCAAGCCAAAAATGAAGAGGCACAAACCTGAGTTTATTACAGGAACTCCCAGCCAACTTGATGATTATTTGGCCTTATAGAATGTGTATATATACTATGCAGTAGAACCCCTACGATATGATACAACAGGAACCAGAAACACGAAAAAGAATCACCTGATCCAATCCAATCCGCTAATATACACACAAATTGACTGTTCTGATCAGGCTAGACTTAGTAGTACAGTACATGATCCACTGCGTGCGTGCAGATTCATTGTCTGAATGACCTTGTTATCCCGATATCTTGATTCTCCCATTCCTGGATTTTTGTCGTGCCACGCGTAAACCAATCACCTGCTATCAAGTTCAAAAGAACCTAAAGATTACTAATGCCCGAGGGAACTACAAATGCTGCACAAAGAATAAGTCCTGTGGCATGTGCTCCATCTCAACTAAAAGCCTAAGCTGATAATTGGATTGCACATTAATGGTTATATGCTCAACACGCCCCCTCATGTGTGCGGAACCCATGACCTTTGGCATGGTTCTGATACCATGATACCAAAGTGAAGCATGTGCTCTATCTCAACTAAAAGTCTAAGCTGATAGTTGGATTGCACATTAATGGTTATATGCTCAACACTATGTATCATTATATATATATATATATATATATATATATATATATATATATATATATATATATATATATATATATATATATATATATATATATATATTGTTTACTAATCTTGAATTGATCTTGACAGTTAAAGATTCATAGTTTACTTACCCTGTCTGGGGCAACCGTTGCCAGTTCATTAGCTGATGAGGCTGTTGATGCCTTTGCAAATAAGAGGTACTGGTGGTGCCAATGGTGGTGTTGTCATCGCCAGCAAATTGATCCGAGTAATTCGTGCTCGAGGGGGACCATACTGGGACGACGCCCCGGCTGCTGTTGGAAGAATCAGCAGTGGAGTCTTCAGAATTCCTTCTGCGTATATTAGGTTGTGGCGGGGCGTTGGTGTTGATGTTTCGAGCTGCTTGGATAACAGTTTGGCCTGTATTGTTCCTCATTTGAGCTGCAGTTATTGGCACTTGGGCTCTGCTATCCACGCCCGGGTTTGTGAGGTCCATCGAGCTCTCTTCTTCGTCCCTGAAAAAGGAAGTAATGCTGGGAACCATCTGGTCTTCATCAGCCCGGATAGTGGCAGGATTGTTGTTGTTGTTCCTAACTGGTTCGTGGTTCGTCTCCATTTGCATGTCTTGAGGGAATGCGATTGGCGAGAAGTCGGTCGAGTCCCCGTGTCCTTCCTCCATACCATTCTCGATTGCAGCTCTCGAAGCTGCCTCGAGCTGCCACATCTGTGCAAGGGCGTCTTGTAGCCTCGCTTTTGCTGCATCAATTCCAACGATCGGGAGAGGATAGTTGGATCCTAGCTCAATCCCAGCTGCTTGCAGAACAGATTCCGGGGCGTTCCAGGGATGGTGAATCCACTCGGTTGGAAGCCGAACAAGTTCAGGAAGCCACCGACGTACATACTCCCCATTCGGGTCACATTTGTAACCTTCAAACTGGAAAAAAAAAAAAAAAAAAGACACGAAATCATGGCATTCAGAATTGTACATTTTCCTCAATATGAAAACACAAGAAAATGAAAACCGATGCAGAATTGTATTGCAGCCTGATTCTAATGCACACAACCGAGGGAGGGCGTGGGTAAACCCTACCCACCCTAGCCAGCAAAGGATCACAAGGAGGTAAACCAACAAGAAGGTCAATAAGCCGTACGACAAGCAATGTTGAAAAAATCGCTAGGCGCCTGGGACCGCCTAGGAGGCCGACAGCCTAGCGCTTAGGCGCCGATTATTGCGATTTTTGCAACACTGACGACAAGAATGTAAACGTGTAAATTCATCTATCAGTTTATACCTGTGGATTATCAATGCGGTCTAATTCGCGGCCATCGGGTATGGTGCCAGAGATGTATTGCCAACCGAGAGCATCACTCTCGAGATCTGCATCTAATAGAGTATCCCAAAAGTACTTCACTCCCCATCTCCATGGAAGCTGCAAAACTTTGACAAAGAAACTAGAAACTACAACGCGTATCCTATCATGTAGCCAGCCGGTTGCCCAGAGCTCTCTCATACCAGCATCCACGAGAGGGTAACCAGTTCTGCCTTGCCTCCACGCCTTAAAGTAGCCCTCGTTAATTACCCATGGGAAGTACTTTAGATGACCAAGGAGAGGCCTTTCGTGGCTGTATGGATGGTTAAAGCTCATATATCTCGAATACTCTCTCAGCCCAATGGATTTGAGGAACAGATTCACACTCTCTTCGCCTGCTATGTTCCCTTCGTTGGCCCAGAGAACTTGCTTCATTCGAACCAGATGGAATGCTTTCCGAACGCTTACTTCCCCAAAGTGTAAATGCGGGGAAAGAAATGAGGTTGTTGCACTATCAGCCTTTCTTCGGTTCTGTGAGTACTCAATCAATGGCCCGTTTATAAAAGCTGTTAATGCCTTATCAGCATTCCTCCAACCAGGGGACCATGCCCGAGCAAGAAGTGCATTGCTTCCTTTCTCCAATTCATCTTCAAATACTAAGTTTACTGAAGGACATCGAGACACATCACCTACAACACACAATATACATATAATGTTTTAGAATTTCAGCATTCACTTCAACTTCAAATTGCCCAGAATGGTGTTTGGTAAATAGCTGTTAGCTGATAGCAGATTGTGTTAGTGGGTTTAGCATTAGCTGATTGTAGAAAGATGTTTGGTAAATTGGTCGTTAGCTGATAGCTGATTACATGCAAAAAAACATTGAAAACGCACCAGAAACAATCCGTTTAGGAGGGAGAAGTGGAGCCTCGGGATCATAAGGCATGCTAAGGCATCTATCCCAAAAAGCGCTGAAGGTTGTGAAAGGGTGACCTTCATCATCCACAACTTCCCAGGGCTCATACAGCAAATCAGAATTGAAGGAGCGCACAGTCACACCTTGAGCCGTTAAAATTTCCTTTGCACGATGATCCCTAACAAGCGACAACGGATCTAACATAACATCAAACAAAACAACGTTAATTACCCCTATTAGCTTCATATACATACAGTCTATGAAAAGGCTAAAGGAACCACCATCTCCTTGATTAAATTTTCAACAACCATAACAGGATATGACAATCTGCAAATTCCCAGTGTCCTTTACAAATTACAAGTTTACAACACAGTTTATAGGAGATTCGAAATGGTAACAGAAAAACAGCAAATCTGCAGCCAGAAAGTACTCAAAAAACACAATTTTTGACATGCCAAGGTTGCAATTTAGCACCAGAAGAAATGACAAAACCCCATGTTCTGATGATAGATAGATCAATGTGAATCAATCAATAGATTACATTACCTAAACCTAGAGAAACCAAATGACAAAAGGGAACCATGATTCATATATTCAACAAAGATGAAGAAAACCAAAACACAAAAACAAGGAAGCCAGAAAGCAGAAAGAGATGATCCATAGAAACTGACCATATAAGTGGTTGAAGAAGAGGTGAGAGGCACCAGTAGACTTGATAACTTCAATCAGAGAGGAAACACTGTCAGTAGATCTCTTTGTGATTAGGGTAGTGCCCAGACTCCTGAGAGAAGAATCCAGATGAGCCAAACTCTGCTTAAGCCACCATCTTGAAACCCTGCCAGGATAATAGTGCCCTTCTTCCTCAGGAGCCCAGATGAAGAGTGCTATGATTGCCCCAGACCTCACCCCTGCAGCCAAAGCAGGGTTGTCTTCCACTCTCAGATCCCTCCTAAACCACACTATACTGCACCCACCACTTGACATCTCTCCAGAACTCCAAGAACCCTAAAAGCCCAGAAGATTAGAAGAAGAAGAACAACAAAAACACTTCCTCAGTTCCTCCTACCTACAACACACCATGCCAGTGTGTCTTTCTTGGCCAGAGGATGTGTGTATTGTGTATGTAATTACGGGTGTAAATCTTATCCTGTCCAAACCCCAATCTTGGTTTGACCAATACATGAAAAATTCCAGACCATAAATAACAATAAAGATAATTTTCTTTTTAGATAAATTTTGTAATAAAGCTCGGATCTTTAACTTGTCTACACATGTATGTCTTGGGAATTTTTAAATGAAAAGTAGTCCTTTCTGATTTTGCTGCTATTTATCAACTTTATAATATACCCAAACACCATATAATATTATTATAAAAAGTTTTTTTATGAATGTGTTTAGTAAATTATCTCTAAAAAAAAAAGTAACTTAAATTAATTCTCCCAATTATTAGGGGAATCTTTGATTTTCTTGAAATTACCACTGGCTCAATTTGCAGCCAAGAAGACCTTTAGGAGAGAGAAAGGCTGAAAGGGACAAAGATAAGTTGGTTGGTTAAGGTTTAGTGGGGACTGGGGAGTAGCAAGAAAACTGCTGGGCAAATTGCAGCCACACCTTTTTTTCTTTCTTTTTCTTTTCTTTCTTTTTTAATCTTAAAATATGGAATTTTTTATTTTAATTTTTATATTTTCTCAACATACATTATTCTAATCTTAAATCTCCAAAATCTTTGTCTAAAAGGGTAAACATTTTTTTTTTTTTTTTTCAATAACTCACATTCTGGGTTTCGACTATTTTCTGAGCCCATAAATCCACCTCAAGTTCATGCGCAAATTATGTTGTGCAATCGAATGCACCATGCGCATGGTGCATTTGATGCAAAACGACGTCGTTTTGGTTAAAAAACGCGCGTCCCATTTAAAAAAAAAAATCATGTTCGATTCCCGGCAATAGCATTTTTATATATCCATAAATTCATAACTATATATCCACAATGAATGAATGAAGTAAAAATCCACAATGAATGAACTAAATATCCCTAATGAATGAACTAAATATCCACAATGAATGAACTAAATATCCATAAATTTATAACTATATATCCAGAAATTCATAACTATATATCCACAGCGAATGAATGAAGTAAATATCTACAATAAATGAACTAAATATCCACAATGAATGAACTAAATATCCATAAATTCATAACTATATATCCAGAAATTCATAACTATATATCCACAATAATGCTATTGCCGACAATCGAACCTAATTTTTTTTTTTAAGTGGGACACGCGTTTTTAGCCAAAACGACGTCGTTTTGCATCGTATGCATCATGCGCATGGTGCATTCGGTTGCACACCATAACTATTGAAGTTCATGAGAACGTAAATCGAATCAAGTTTCAAAAATTAACATCAAATTATACATTTTTGCGTGTTAGTGACAGAAATCAAACTCCCACCATATTATTATGAGTAAATCTTAAATGAAGTTTCTTATCCACTATATCAATGATATCGGAGCATGAGACTTATCCGATAAAAGAAAATCAAAGAATTCCCAGCTAGCTGGATGGCTATGGCTTCTCTAGTCCTCTCTCTTTGACAAGTTGGAAGGTTTGTAGCATGTTCAAATTTGGATTTTAAATTACTGCCAAAAACCTGTATTTTGCACATATAGATTGCACAGAATCTTTATTTGTATGAATTATTGCAAGTTGAGAGCTATTCCGATCCTTTTAACTTACACTATATCATTTGAAAGGAACTTGACAACAAAAATTAATCAAAAACTTTTTTGCTCATTAAATTATCAAAATGGTAGTTGGGCTCGAACTTGAACCTATTATTGGAAAAGAAATGCACCTTAGCATCAAATAATACAATAAATATTAAATATCATTACTCTACACTTCTTAAAAAGTCTAACCAGTGAAAATGAATGGTAATTTTGTAAGACAAGTTGACGAAATCTAAACCTAAGTTGGAAAGAGATGTGACTTACCACCACACTACTGTACGTTAAATGTATGTCAGTGAGTTTTATTTTGTCTTTTTGTTTTTTGTTTTTTTCTTTTTAATACTTAGGAACACATAATGGTACATGACTCGACGCGCTGCTGCACCTATAGAGTTAAATGTTAAGAGATCAAGTGTGAGTGCTAGTCGAGGAAAGATAAAAACACAGATGCCAACCCACATGCGATGTCATCCAATCAATAACGAAGTTCTCTTACTATCACGTGCAATATACACTAAACGCTATTACTTATAAAAAAGTTTGTCCATACATGAATATAAAAGGACCCCAACCCGGAAGTTGCCCTTGTCGATCTACCATTGACATATAGGGTTTGGTAAATCAGTGGAGAAGACGACATTAATCACAATATGTCATATTGATAAAATCGAATCAAACTGTGATTATTAACCAATTAGTACATCTATTAAGTCAATCAGTTAAACTATATATGCCTCATAATATCCATACACGAATATAAAGAAGATAAACAATACCTTCACAAGTCAGTAATTTAAACTTCTAGCCAGCGGTCTTTATCTGTAGCGGAATTTGTCACTGTCTGAGTTGTAAAAATGGGCAATTTTAAGCATTTGAGAGGTAGCTAGGATAGGGTGCACTATGTTTGAAGTGAATCTGATTCTGAACTATGGGCTACCAAATTTTGTGCAATGCAAAATTAAAGTGATCAAGTTGGGAATGTGGTGTGAAAGGTAAGGAGGAGGAGGGAGACAGGCAGCATGGGTAAACTTTATTGAGTGGGGGTTTAGATGATAGGGTGTGATGACTCTTTGGATTATTTGGCCTTTTATGTGAAGTGGGGCTTTCTTGCTTCCTATATATATATATATATATATATATATATATATATATATATATATATATAATTTCTTTTATTGGTAAATAAGGAAAATTCACAATTATTAGTCAATGATGTATACTGGGTAAACTCTGTTTTGTGATTCTAGTTTAACAAAGGACTACAATAAGGTAAATAAATACGGAGTATAAGTTAAGTTGTCTATAATTGATCCACTCAAACAAAAAAATAATACTCCCTCCGTTCCATTTTATGTGTCGGATTCGATTAACGATGCTTGACTAAAGTTATTTTTAATCCAATTTTTCATAATATTAAATTTAGTATTAGTATATAAAATTTATATATTTAGAAACTACACTAAAAACACTATTAAACACAAAAAATCAAATTTAAAAATAATCAAAGAATAATAAAGAAAATAAACAAGGAACAAATAGTTGATTTGACCAATGAATAGTAAGTACGACAGATAAAATGAGACAAAGTGAATAATAAACTAATCATTATAGTTAAATTTAAAACATTGTGGTTGCGCGACTTTCTTTATGGTATTTTATTTGAATGGGGAATTGAAGGCTTAGATTCCGATAATAGGTTACTGTTTAACAGTGATGTGTGAATTTGTGATGCAGACATTACGCATATATTGTGGGTTGTACTTAACGCACATTCCATAGGATAATCTCGGCAACATATTTGCCACATAATCCCTCATTATTTCACTTCTTAACGTGTTATTATTATATTCCATATTTGTAGATATTATTTTATAAAGTACTATTGACTTTTTTTTTTTTTGAGAAGCCAAAGTACTATTGACTCTGATACAATGTAGTATTTGTTTATATATACTTTTTCAATTTATTGAAGCACAACAAATTAATACCGCCTCAGATATTTAGTTATCCAGAGTTTTGATAGAATTGTGATCAGGGTAAATTATAAATGAAATGAATTACAAAATGTGTTTAAATAGCTTACAAGTCCTGCAAAGTGATTATACACAGATGCTCACAAATCAAATAGGCCAAAATTCCATACCTCATAAGTTATTATATTGTGAACTATGATCTAAAACGACATCATTGTAAGGTACTATATATGATTAACAATTAATCATGCTTACTCTTCATCCAACGCTAGAGTCATGATCCTGGTTAGGGGACATATTTAACTAGTATTATATTAAGTAGTTGTGGGTTGGAGTATAAAGAGTATTCACTTTTTAGGCTTTACAAACAATACCATTAGAAGATGTACATTGAAAATAATTTAAAGAATAAAAATAATTTTTTTTCATTGTCAATAAATAATATAAGAAAATAAAGATCTGTTTTTTCTTTTTAAAACTTGTTGGAAGCAAGATGTTTTTGTGGCCACCCAACTAGTATTTTATTCTTTTTATTTTTTGAAAAAAAAACACTATAATTTGTATCAATAATATGTAGGAAAAACTACGAAAAAAGGGTGATAATGCATCATATTATATGATATTATGATGAAAGTTTTCATCGTAACAACATAACAACAATTTTCATGTCATTATATTTTGATAGAAAGATGAGAGAGGCACTATATTTTGGTCATGTTTGATGAAATAGTTAGTTTATCATTTGACTTTGGCTTGTTTGACCATTATTAGTTGTTTGATTTGGTTAAACAAGCAATATGAGCATATGAATAATTAGTTTTTTGTAAAAGTTTATTTCTCTAAAACACAAAAATTCATAAACCTGTTCAAATTAAAGCAGTTTTTTCAATCAGTTTTTTGTGAAAGTCATTTTGTATGTAATCAGTTATCAACTAACAGTTAATTTTATCAAACATTTTTCTACAATCAGTTAATACTATCAACTAGTCAAACCCTCTATTTGCCAAACACCCCTTTCCCTATTTATGGTTGGGTAGGTTGCAAGGTGTATTTCATTCCTTCATCGTGAGGTTTCCTCCAAATGGGAGGATAGTTCATGTGACAATACTTCAAAAAGACTTGAAAATAGGGTCCACTTTGATATTTGATGGAAAAGTAGTGTGTTCTTATACACTCAATTGAATGCACATAGAATATAGTTGTTGAAATTGTTATTTTTTTTACTTAAAGACATTAGTTATGTCACAAAATATTTGCATACGTATAGTATTTGTATGTAATTGATTTGAATGGAAATGACATTGTATTTTTCTGATGAGAAAATCAACATCAATTCATGAATAGAATTTTTTTTTTTAAATTTGATTAACCAATATAGATTATATTTTAATTCAATTGATGTTTTTTTTAGTACTATTGACTCTATTACAATGAAGTATCTGTTTATGTCCCTATTAAAACTTAAACTTATGATTTCTCATTTAAGAGAGTCGCTTCATGTCACTAGACATCATTGGCTAA